TACCAATACATTTCTATTCGTGCCATTACGTAAGATCCACTGTTCTAGTGTTCCTAACTCATCCTCACTTGACACTGGGAGTTCCACTGGAATATCTTTGTACTTGGTACTAATATCTTCTTGGTTGATATTCCCCCGTCGTAATAAATCTCTGACGTCAGACTTTATTTCCACCAGCATTCGAATAACTGTTTCTTCAAATGATTCTGCAAATAATAAAGTTGCAATTTTAATTTAAAACAAATTTGAGAAAGAAATAACTTTTAAAATCAGATTCCAAATATCTATACCGTTTGCTCTGAGAGGACGTCGATCGAGAACTCGTTGAGACAGGGTACGGTTTGGAGTAGTCGCTTCTGTGTTCGAAATTGGATCAATGATCGGAGGATTGTTCTGCCCAACACTTTCGACAATATCATCAGCCAAAGGAAGACGCGGTGGATTGACCGTTGTGGACGATCCTTGTCCGACACACACAAGGGCCAAATTATGATTTAATGATGGTTCCTCTGGGTGGGATAATGAGTCCAACTCTAATTTACGCATTGTATGAGATATAATTTCGATTAATCGGGGTTTGGAAAATTTTAGCAGCCGGTTTTCGATTAATTGAATTTCGGAAAATTGTAAGAAACCGGTTTTCGATTAATTGATTTTTTGAAAATTGTAAGAAACCGGTTTTCGATTAATTGAATTTTTGAAAATTGTAAGAAGCCCTTTTTCGAATAATTGCATTTTTGAAAATTTTAAGAAGCCCTTTCTCGAATAATTGCATTTTTGAAAATTTTAAGAAGCCCTTTTTCGAATAATTGCTTTTTTGAAAATTTTAAGAAACCGGTTTTCAATCAAGTGAATTTTTGAAAATTTTAAGAAACCGGTTTTCAATCAAGTGAATTTTTGAAAATTTTAAGAAACCGGTTTTCAATCAAGTGAATTTTTGAAAATTTTAAGAAACCGGTTTTCGATTAGTTGAATTTTTAAAAATTGTAAGAAGCCATTTTTCGAATAATTGCATTTTTGAAAATTTTAAGAAACCGGTTTTCGATTATGTGCAAAACCGGTTTTAAAATTGGTTTTTAGTGCCAATTAAATAAAAAGTTTGTAAATATCAAAACCAAAAATTCAATGCAAAATTAAAATTAATTTTAAATTTGGGAATAAGTTATTATTATAGAACAATTAACTCATATCTCAACAATAAGAAGCATTAAATATTAACTCCAAAATCTTGTTAAAAACCGAAAACCGATTTTCGAGTGTGTTGCTTAAAAAATTACAAAACCGGTTTCGACTAAATAGGAAAGCGACTTTAACCAATTTTGAATACCCTAATTTTACGTAATAATACCTGAATTAAATAGCTGCACACAAACTGTATTTCAAAATAAAATCACCGATGGTATTATACAATTAATTGGTAGTAAGTTAAGTAGTTCTTATTAACTAAATAAGTTAAATAAATTATTTAATGGGTGACAGAGATGATTGATGAGACAGTCGGTGGATGAAAGTCAAACTTTTCGACTGAGATTTGCTGGTGGTTGGGAAAAAACCTCCAATTATTGAGGCCATGTGACTCATTGTCATTCTATTTAAGATATGTCACATATGTATAAACAAGGAGGCCTTATCCTTTGTTTCTTCTTCCTCGCTGTAAGAATTTAGTGGCGGAGGAGCGGCACAGTGACTTTTAATAAGGAAGGAGAACAAAGGTTTTTATTGAATCACTTCCTATGTGCAGAGTTCGGATATTTACTATCCTCGTATTTAGGCTTGTCACCTCATTTGCATAAATCTCACTATGCCCATTTTTGGCGATACGAGCTTTCCATGTTGAATAAACTCTATGTCTCTCGCGAATGCGTCAAAATATGCTAATGCGTCAAAAAATGAGGTGACCGGCGTAGGTCACACGGTCAAAAAAATTTTTTCACATATTTTTCATATTTCGAAGTTTGGATACGTATAAATATGTTTTTACATATTTCGGCAATTCTTCAAAAAGTATGTTCTTTTAGAAAAACCTCAGAAATTTACAATACAAAAATATCTAATAAATATTAAACTTTCTCCAAGTGCTGTTGCGTGCTTAAAGTGGAGAACGATCGTAGTTTTAGACAATATAAATTTAAAGTTTAGTGTTGTTAGTTTGTCACCTTGAAATGTAAACGCTTTCTTTTGGCATTCGTACAGTCAAATAAATTAAGTTTGAAGTAATTTAAAAGGTATTAAAAAATGTTTTATACTATTTATTTTGTCGATTTGATTAAACATTTTAGATAAATATTTCGGGGTTTTTAAGAACATAATTAGCCGGACTCTAGTACATGTCCATAACACTATTAGGTATAGGTCGCAGTTATACATTTAATGAAAAGCAAACTATAGTCATAAATTCATTCATTCATTCATTCAAATTTATTCATACATTGTAAGAAAAACTGGACCCTTAAGTGGTCGGTAGAGCTTTTAAAAACTCAATAAAGACACGTGCGCTGGACAAAACTTCTCTGTAAACAAGTGCAAAGAGGAAAAACAATGCCATAAAACAAAGGGATCTTTTTTAAGGAAAAGCCCCTTTCTCAAACAATGAAGAAAAAGGCAAGCAAATTATGAAACGAAATAAACCGTTACAACGCATGTAACCAAGGGGTGAAAGGAGTGTCATACGTCAATGTGAATATCAAATTGTTCGAAAATTTGTTAAGATTGACACTTCTGACGTGTTTTCGACTTTTGTGTCTTATTTGTGTCAAATTTAACAGTTGATAACCCTTATGTGACCTTTATATGACCTCTGAGGTCAAAATGGAGGTCACCATTGAATTCGGGGTTAAATTTCAGTTGAAATTGTCATAGATATATCCTATGACCTTTACATGACCTCTGAGGTCAAAATGGAGGTCACCATTGAATTTGACATTGAAAAATAGTTAAAAATGATGTGTCACATGTCAAAACTGACACGTGACACTTTTTCGTCACTTTTCGTCACTGTGACGACGTCATCGTCACAGGTGACGATGTCACAGTGTCCATCTTCGAACTCGTCCTGTCCCTTGACGTTAGGAGTTTACGTTCAAAATTTCAAGTGTCTATGTCTTTTCGTTCAAAAGTTATCGGAGCTACGGACAGACGGACGGACGGACGGACAGACAGACGGACATAACGATCTTATAAAGGGCTTTCACCCCTTAATAAATAAACCGTCGCAAACGCGCATACGGAAGTAGCTTCAGACGTACTTCACCCCAAACGGTCCCACCACAACTCGGGAACACTTAATTTCACTCTAATTCACCTATAGATTAATTTTTTTTTTTAAATCTCATTTTACCCCGACCACACCCCCTGGCGACGAGGGGGTGTGGAACAACTCGGGAACACTTAATTTCACTCTATTTCATCTATAGATTAATTTTTTATAAAAATCTCATTTTGCCCCAACCACACCCCTGGCGCCTAGGGGGTGTGGCACAACTCCGGAACACATAATTTTACTCTATTTCACCTATAGATTAAATTGCACTAAAAATCTCATTTTGCCCCAACCACACCCGCTGGCGCCGAAGGGGTGCGGCAAAATCGGGGAAACACTCAATTTCACTTAATTTCACTTAATTTCATTTAATTTCACTCAATTTCACTTAATTTTACCCATAGAATAAATTGCACTAAAAATCTCATTTTGCCCCAACCACACCCCCTGGGGCCGAGGGGGTGTGGCACAATCGGGGAAGCACTTAATTTCACTTAATTTCACTTAATTTCATTTAATTTCACTCAATTTCACCTAATTTTACCCATAGATTAAATTGCACTAAAAATCTCATTTTGCCCCGACCACACCCCCTGTCGCCAAAGGGGGTGTGGTCCGGTTGCCCCCAAAAGTTGATAGGATCCTCCCCCTGGGGTCCTATGTATGATGGCGAAAACCGATTTCGATTATCTCGATCCGTTCTCCTGATATCCTGCTGACAGACAGACGGACAGACAGACAGACAGACAGACAGACAGACAGACAGACAAAGTCTTCACATAAAGTAGCTGAAGCTACTTAATAAGTGCATTTTTATTGATTTTGAAAATCAATACACATACACATGGAATATTCACGCTAACTTTGTAAACTGTGTAAATTTGGGGGAAAATTATGAAAATGTAGCAACTTTTCGAACATCAATAAATATATGAATAAGCATATATGAAAATATTTTTAAAAATAAATATCGATATTTCCCTAAAAATCCAAAAAAACTGTAATAGATAAACGCCAATGAAAGTATATTTTGTAAATATTAAAGACAAAAAGATTAAAATTTTTAGGCATTCGTAATTCCACCCCCACCCCCACCCTCATCCATAAGAGTTTAATAATAGTTTACTTTAATTGGTTGGGAATATTTTTGGACTAGATTTCCATACTGTCTTCTGTTAAATTTCTAAAAGAGTGTTCTCAAAATTTTCAAGTGAACTCATTTTGCTCATTACAAAAATTGGACAAATTCTCCACGTAACTTTTCCCTCGATTTCGAAGAAATTCACGTAATGAAAAGACGAGTTTCAGAGATGATGAAGTTATGAGTGACGAACAAATCGAGTTTTATTTCTTCCTAAATGCAAAATGTCACGGTTTAGGCTTGCATGCAAAGTCCTTCACCGCTTGCTAATTACCCACCTTCGACGTGGGTGACATTAATTAAGCCTTTATGATGTAATAAATTAGCACAGAAATTTGAACAGCGGTGTCCAAAATGCTGGAACGGATGACATTTAAGCTTTTATTTATTACCCTTCCATTTCAGGAAGCACAACTCCGTCGACATTTTCAGTGTTAAAATTTAAAACAAACTTTGTACTGTGTAATGCTTAAATTAGTTATAATTTTACTTCATAAAATAATTAAAAATATTTAATTAACCATAAATAATTAGTAATACTGCAAGTAATTATTTATTAAATTTTCATAAATTTTCATTTCTATGAATATTTCCCTTTAATCACACTCCTACCGCTTTAACAATTTTAAGCGAAGGCACAGCAAACTTCACTTTTCTCCTCAACTCGTCAAAAGTTTTCTTAACTGTGCGAAAATTATTGGCCCAAATTTTGTTGATATTTTGTAATTTTGCAATTTTCTCATTGGCCGCACTGATCTCGGCATTCGTGGCGTCAAGTTTGCTCTCCAGGTGCAAAATGGTGGCCCGATTTGAGTCGATTATGCCATACACGAGGGACAAGTTTGTATTGATTGTGTTGATTTTCCCGTTCAAGTAATTGTAGTCGGAATTCCAACTGCTTTGAATTCTGGTCATATCGGATGAAAGAGTGGTGAGCTTGTTCTTATTGGCGTCTGCGGGTTGGAAAATATGCAAATATTTTAATATTTTAATGACAACACTTTTGTAAAGTTTTAATGTACGACGTGATGACATCACTTTTTATAATAATTGCTGGAAATTTAATTTAAAATTCTGGATGACATGTTTGTACAGAAGTTGATTAAAGAAATGGTCGTGAGTTTTTTTAAGCCAGTTTCGATGAGTTCCAACTTTTTGAAAGTTTTCCTCTTTCAAAAACTGTCAAAATTGGGAGTGTACATTTTTAAAAAATTGGCAACGACCTGCTCTACAAATGTGTCCAGAATTTTAAAATAAGTTCCCTGAAATGATTTAAAATGTCTTTATTTTGACAAATAAACGGACAGTTTATATAATTAATTATTCAAATTAATTAGCGTATGTACATATGTAGGACTCGATGATCGCCAAATCGTCAGGTTTCTTAAACTTGAGATCTTGTCCTTCAAAAACTGTTAAAATTGGGAGTGTATATTTTTTTTAATTCGGAAGTCCCTGCCCGACAAATTTATATATTATTCGTGGCCAATTTTCGCAATTTTAGTAGGAAATGAAACACTTGTTCAAAATTTTTACTTGAAAATTTACAGAATTTCAGCAATTGCATGACGAAAATTGCGCTTTTATTATCTTTATTCGAAATTTTTTTAATTAACAATTTTTAATTAAAGAATACTTACTCGCTGTCTGCTCCACACTCGTAACTCTCGCTGTTAACGGTGCAATGGCAGGATCTTGAGATTCAACTTGATCCATGGAAGAAAATCCCAACAAGCAAATTAACAATGATAGTTTCATCATGAAATGGTAAACTTTTAACTTTTTGTTTACTCGTCGTTACACTTTACGCTGAGAAAATCATTAATTGTTAATTAATTTCAGATTAATTAACTCAATTTTTAGTTTTTAAGAATCAATTTTTATAAAATTCTTACAATTTACAATTCTTTATGCACTATTTAAAAATCAGTGCATCGGGGCAACTGAGCTGATAACGATTAATAAACCGTACACCTTTCCTATTCAAAATGATAATAGCATTTTTTAAGCAATTTGTTATTGACATCGAGTAACGTAAGGTACTTCAAATGTATGAAAATCCAAGTATTATTCACTTCAGAATGATAATAATCAGTGGCCGCGGAAGCCGTGGGGACATTAACATTTTAGGATAGGGGGAGGGAGGGGTTTACATAACACGGGAAGATTATGGGGACATCGAACAACCGTGGGGACATTGTCCCTCTGTCCACACGCTTCCGCGGCCACTGTTACCAATTCTAAACTTCACTGCATGTCAATCCCGATACGATCTGATTTCCTGCACGAGCCATACGTAATTTTGACGAATTTGAAGAGTAGCAAAAAAACAAACATGTGCATAAAGCGGAACTGCAAATATTATGCGCTTGACTATTTATAAATAAATACATATTGTGCACACTACACGTGTTACTCGTGTACATTGTTTGGCATTCTTGCATGGTCAATGTCATTTTCTTTCATGCAATTTATGCAAATTGGTTGTAAAAAAAACAACATACAATTGTCGTCAGTTGCTATTATAAAGTAACGCAATAAGTATTTCATCAAATTATCGGTTTTCCCAATTTCGTTTTTCATGCCGATTTCATGAAAAATTAGAATTTACATGTCGATTTTATGGAAAAATTAGAGCAAAAACTAGGCATGCAATTACATAACTTACAAAGCGTTTTTGACATTTTCTTTACAGACGTTTGAACATAAAATTTTGCAAAAATTATAGTTTCATAATTAGAAATACAATTTGGAATATGATAGTTTTTTTATAAGTTTTAAGTTGCGAATCAGTTTTACAAATTTTTATATTCATTTCATTCATGAACCAACTCAATCATCTAATTGTATAAAGGTTACTAAAATATTATATTTAAAAAGTAACGGCGTTAAGGCAGTGTTAAGATAATTATAAAATGCCATTTATATTAAAACCTTACTAGATATTCTACAAAAGTCAATTTTTTTAAATGATTACAAATTTAGATGGTAAAAACTGTAAAAAGTTACTAGATTGCCAAACAAATCTTTCGAAAATTTACCTAATTTTGACCAAAATTACAAAGAAATGGTACACAATCTATTTTTCGATTTGAACCAGATAATTACGTTCCTACCTTGATCGTAAAATTAAAATTACTCATCACTGCATCTTATCACTAAATCTGGATATGAAAACAATTACTATTTGTCATCGCATCACAAAACTTAGCTTAACAATAAATCCTTAACAAATCAGTGCATATTTGGTCATAAAAACGGCGAAAATCTTAAAAAATCATCATCCCATTATTACGTCACCCTTGAATTTTAACCAGTCTCACACTTTAAAGAATTCAACCTTCCTTTACATCAATTTGTAAACGGTGATGTCATAATTCCGGCAAAAATTCCAGTCGAGATCTATTTACGTGACCAATTTTGTGAGTCATAATTAATCGTGACAACCCATAACATAAGAATGAACCACTTTTTGCTTTTAATAAGTAGTTAATGGATCTCATTTTACATGTAAAATCACACCCGAGTAGCGAGATACGATCATCAAATTGGCATTTTTTGCCATAATGTCGCCTACACAGCTCGTAATGTGTTGTCAAGAACAGTGTCCTGCTTTGTCTGGCGAATCCTTGTGTATAACGCGTATTGCGAATATTCTGCAGTGCAGAATCTGCACTATTCTCATTCATGTTGGTATTACGCATAGCAGAGCAAAGTTATGTTAACTATATATAAACTGTGAATAATAATGAACCAAAATCACAGCTCACCTGTTACAATTTGCACTTTGGAAGAACGTGCTACACAAACGTGTTGTTCAAGCCGGAAAATTTGCCATTTCAAATTACTCATAAATTTGCATGCATGTATACAGTATCGCTGCATGCAAATTGGGTTTAACTTTGTGTGAGAGTGATCTGAAATATCGGACAGTTAGATCTTTTTGCACCTTTAAGGAAAAAGTTTGGATAAAATAAGTTTTCAGAAATTTGGACAAATTTTATAATTAGTCGTACAAATTTAAAATGGGAGATGAAGACGTATATAAAGAATTTGTGTCAACGGTATGTCTCAAAATTTTGAAAATATTATACACTGTTAGAAATCTGGTATAGTCAGGTAGATATTGATTTCTCTGTATTAACGTTGCTACCGCTTGGTATTAAAATTATTTATACCGGTCCAAGAAATTTGCTACCGACATGGTAAAACTTTAATACCGAGCTATTACTACACGGTATTACTTATCAATTCCACTCTGGTATTGGTAGAATCATATATGAATACCGCTTGGTATTATGTTAATACTGGATTTCTAAGAGTTTAAATACATTTTTTAAATGATTATATTCGATTTTTTTTAAATTTTGTTTGAAAATCATGACATTTTTTGCAAATTTTTAACTTATCGGAATCTCTTGTAGCTCATTCCCCTGTCGGAAACGGTGCGATGGAAAATTCACAATGTTTCCGAGCTGGTAAAGCATTCCGCCTTTTCCGCGATCAGCATCCCGTTCGAGGTTGGCGTGGGGCCGACGGGGTTATCGAAATGGGAGATAAGCCTCGTTTCCCACGTGGCGTCGGGGATGTTGCAGGCGAGGGCGAGACTGACCGGGCTGGTGGGTCATGCGCAGTCCAGTGTGACGCACCATGTCACAATCTGGCTTCGGAGGAACGGTTCCTTGTCGCAAGTGCGATACGAAAAAGGTGAGGAAATTCGGGCTTAAACTGCATAATTTTAGCAATTTTTAAAAATTTGCGAAAAGAATTTGCGAAATATTTTACTACAGAAATTCAGTATTAAAATAGCAGCAAGCCACATTGCTATAAGAGTCTACCAAATTGGTATTGATAGTTAATACCGTGTAGTAATAGCTCAGTATTAAAATTTTATCATATTGGTTTGCAAATTTTTACGGACCGGTGGAGATAATTTGAATACCAAGCGGTAGAAACTTTAAAAAGCTTGAAAATAATGTCATGATTTTGAAACAATAAGTTTTTAAAACTAATAAATTATTGTAAATAAAATAAATGCACTCTTAGAAATCCAGTATTAAAATAATACCAAGCGGTATTGATGTCAAACTTTACCAAAGTGGTATTGACAAGTAATAGTGTGCAGTAATAGCTCGGCATTAAAGTTTTATCATATTGGTAGCAAGTTTTTTACGGACTAATGTAATTTTAATACCAAACGGTAGCAATTTTAACACAGAAAAATAAATACCTATATCTGATTTCTAACAGTGTAATGCATGCAAATAAGTTGTAAATAATACATATGTAAAGTTTACGAAATTCATATGTGACATTAAAAAAATAAGTTTTTAAATGAGAAAGTAATTTCTGAAAAATCACTAGACGATTTGCATACGTGGGCAGTCTGTGTAATGTATTTTATCTCAGGATTTTTTAAACTTAAATAAATTAAAATTACAAATTATTAAACTGGCGAAAATTAATACCGACTTAATTCTGAAAATATGAATTACTTCGTGCCGAAACACTTTTAAGAATGTAAATTTTGTTATTTTGTAAGGTTTATGTTCCCGAAATAATTTTTACGTAAAGTTTGTTACATTCAGTTGATGTGACTAGATCGTGAACGTCGTCAGTGGTACTGTCGTCCTTATAAGAAAAATATTTTTCTGATAGCGTCGACTACTTTATGAAGCCAATTCATAAAATCAAATAACATCTAAAAAATATAATTTCGAAAAAAATTTCGAAAAATGAGCGCAATACACTACTGCACTAGATATACACGATGAATTACAAGGAAAAATTCACCGTCACGTTTTTTTTATAATGAGTAATTCATCACTGTTTCGTTTCTTGCGGGTTTACCACATTTCTTGCAGGTCAAAATATTTAGCTGCAAGAACCTACTTTATTCCCGTAATATCTTGCAAAATGGTTACTCTTGCACGTGAAAATTTGTAATAATAATTTTTCATGAAATTTCATTTTCACTTTGTTTCCCCTCAGACTTTCTCCGCTGCAAGGAGACCTCACTTCCGGGGGAGCCCACGATCTGGGAGGTCATTCCCCTCGAGGACTTGCAGGACGAGGCGAGCGGAATCCTCGACGTGGACGCCGACTGTTTCGACCTCGTCGTCAAGTTGACCGTGTTTGGCCAGGATGTCTCACAAGTTTAAATAGTTATCGATAATTTCTCCATAATTTTAGAACGTTTGGGAATTTTGACATGTTTTTTTTACATCATTTTCAGTCCGTATTTTCCCTAATTTTGTAATATTCTCAATCATTTTCATCATGAAAAGCTTTTCTAAATAAAAACTACCTTCAAAATACTGTACAAAAATATGTAGTTGATTAATAAATATCAGAATCTTGCCGGAAATTTAAAATCAATAAAAGTCAGTTCGTGTTAAAGATAAAGTGGATGTGAGGACTGATCATTATTTATTAAAGGACAGTTTTTTTTAGCAAATATGTCGTGGGACGTCGGTCGTTTGCAAATTTTGTAAAAAATAAGCCTACTGCCGGATTATAAAGTGCAATTTTACTTTTTAATAATTTGTATACGTCAATTTCCTCATATTTGTATACATACAATATAAAATTTCAATTGCTTTCGCTCAACTTAAACGCCAAAATCCAGGTTTTAAGCGTCCAGATTTTATGTAATTCTTGAATAGTGGTGGCGCTGACATCATAGCTTTGGACCACCAATTTTGACTTTCGTATTTATTCATCTCACTCCAGTTTTTCGCAAATCATTTCCTAACAATTTCTGCTGCTTTTCATTTCAAATTTAAATTCTGGAAGCAGAACGGTGATGTCAAAGACCGCTCAATCCGTCCCAGGACCTTCTCACGTCGCAGGAAATACCACCCATTGGGTCATCGCTGAGCTCATCACGACGACCTCAAAGATAACAACCGAAGTCATCGAGGATGAGGATGAGGTCGACGCCGAGGAGAATAAAATGGTGAGGAAATAAGTGACCTTGACGTGGTCCTTACACTGTTTCTGTACTGGAATTGATGGTAATAACTTCCTACCACCGGATTGGTAGTAGTTTATTTCTGACTGATAAATTTTTCATTACGAGTACATGAACATTACTGAACGGTTATCATTCCTGTTATTACCGTGTCGGTAGAGTCATAATATATGTACTCCGTATTAAAAGGGTTACGGAATTTATGCTCCCACTTGCCTGAAAACCGAAATTTTTGCTCTACTAAATTCTTATCTAATTATATCCTTTATCTCTCCAGAGTCCTAAAACCAAACGCCACCGCTGCCCCATTTGTCGAAAAGATTTGTCCTCCAAGCCAGCCCTGACCTATCACCGGCTCACCCACCTCAACCAAGAAGAGAAGACCGTGGCGAAGCAGGCTTGGCGACACGAGTGCTACTTTTGCCAGGAGAGATTCGTCGATGGATCTCATTATCATACTCATCTGTCCACCCACACGGGGGAAAAGGCATTTCGCTGCGACCAGTGCAGGAAGCTGTACAGTCAAAAGGGTTCTTTCGCAGTGCACAAGCGCACCCACAGCGCGACCTCGAGCCCCTTCTGGTGCGCGGAATGTGACAAAACTTTTTCTACAAAAGGGAACCTGGTCGTCCACAAAAGAACAATTCACGAGAAGCTGAAGGCCTTCGACTGCCCCCGGTGCCGGAAGAAGTTCAGCACCAAGAGTCAAATGGGCCATCATGTGAGCACCGTTCATCTCAAAATTCTATATATCTGCCCCCACTGCGGTGGGTCGTTCACACAGGAAGGAAGTCTTAGAACACACGTGAAGACGTTTCATCCCTGAACCTTCGCGACGCCGAAATAATCCAGTGTCAATGGAACCTTTTTTCAAGCTACGCTAGGATTTTCTAACGAGTTATATCAAAAAATTCAGCCAAAAATTAGGAATTACAAAGCACTTATCTTTCCGTTGAATGAGCCCCTTGAAAAAAATATTGGTGGCGTAGCTAAATTTTCCTCCACGTGGCCAAGCCCAATGGGGATGTGTGAACTTTGCCCCCAATATTTTTCTTCAAACGAGTCATTTAACGGAAAGATACATAAGTGCCATGCAATTCTGAATTTTTGGCTTGATTTTTTTGGATCTCAATCCCGGTGTATTTAGCTTGAAAAAAGGTTCCATTGTGAGTTTCAATCTTATAATTTTTCATAGATAAATAATTTATTAATTTTACGATGTAATGAGAATCGATCTTCTCACAGAAGTCGCATAACAAATGACAATAATAAGACTTGTAAACTAAACATAACACAGTTGTTGATAATGGATAATTTTTAGTAAAGGTTTCTGCTGTGGCTTTTCATTTTCATAATTTCGTAATTTTTTACTCGCAATGATGACATGCATATTTAATTTTTTGTATACAGTGAGCAATACTTTTTTCATGAAATTTCATTTTTACTTTATTTTCTCTCTTTGAGCGAAATTTGAGCACTCTTGGTCATTAGTTTGCATTGATTTACACGTTTTTCCACATCATTCTCAGTCCGTATTTTTCACTAATTTTATAAAATCATTGTTACTTACTTACTTGCATATCATGAACAAATTTTGCTTTAATGAAAACCACTTTAAATATATAGTTGATTAATAAATACAAGAATCTTCCCACAAATTTACATAAACAAAAATTGTACAGCGAGATATATAATAAAATAATATCAAAAATAAGTATAAATATTTAATCTTGAAGTTGAAAGCAATAAAAATCAAATCGTATTAAAGATAAAGCCGATGTGAGAAGCAGTATTTATTAAAAGATAACTCACTTTCTTTAGCATGTGACAATCTAGTCATTTCCAAATTTTGAAATCGAATGAAAGCCAATACTTCGTATTTCCGAGCCAGTTACATGATGTCTTTCCCATTTAAAAGACCAATGCAGGCCACCATCACCAAAATTTATTTTAAAAAAGTGCAATTTTTATGCAGGTCACATGTCGTTTGCAAAATGTTTCACCTTCTGCAATTTGAACGCCAAAATCCAGAGCTGGGATAATCCTGATTAAGGATTATGGATTTTAATCCCGGATTATGGATTATTAATCCATAATCCCTAATCCGGCAATGTGAGTTTTTTGTAGATTAATCCCAATCCATAATCCCGATTTTTCTGGAATTAGAATTAATCCGGGAATAATCCCATTTGATTTCATTAATCCATAGTCGTGATTACGGATTACTAATCCTGATTAATCCCAATCATGATTACTAATCATGATTACGTATTCATGATTAATTCTCAATCTGGATTACTCAGTTCAATTCCCATAGTTCCATTCATCCCACAGTGTAGCTTGAAGTCTCAAGTTCTCACAATGTTGTTCTGTCAGCTACCATTTGAAGAATCAACATGTTCTCGCTGCCCTGTGCTACATACATATATCAATTGAAACTGGCGTCATTTTTATGTGAAACCACGTAGTTGAAATTTTTTGCGCTAGATATAGCGAAAATCATTAATCACCAAATTAATCCGGATTATTAATCCATAATCCATAATCCCGAAATTTTCAGAATTTATGGATTAATCCGGATTAATCCTGACATGAATTAATCTCACGAAAATAATTTAATCACAATCCACATTGTTTTATCGTTAATCCATAATCCTTAATCCACCCTCAAAAACCAATAATCACCCAGCTCTGCCAAAATCCAAGTTTCAGGCGTACAGATTTTATTTTATTCTTGAAATGTGGTGGCGCTGAGATCACATTTTTTTGGACCACCATTTTTTACTTTTCATCTCCTCATTCTCACTTCAGTGTTTTCGCAAATCATTTCCTAAAAATTTCTGCTTCTTCTTGATTTCAAATTTTAATTCCGGAAGCTGAACGATGATGTCCAACGCCGCTCAATCCGTCCCTGGACCTTCTCACGTCGCAGGAAGTACCACCCATCCGGTCATCGCTGCCACCATCACGACGACCTCGACGATAACACCCGAAGTCATTTCGCCTGAACCGCAGGAAGAGTTCGAGTTGTATTTGAGCAGTGAGGATGAGGACGAGGTCGAGGTCGAGGAGAAGAAATTGGTGAGGAAATGTGACCTAGTAAACCGTGTATTTATTTGGTGATAACTTCTTACCGGATAGGTATTAGTTTGTTTCTGAATGGTAAGTTTCTCCATGAGAAATTCTCATTGCCACAACATGACTAGATGGTAATGTCCATTATTACCATGCTGGTAGAGTCATAATACTTGTACCCCGGTCGATAATGTAATGATTTAATGCCAGGTTTGAAACAGTGTATCAGACTGATACTATCAGTAAAATACTTCACATGAGTGTAACAATTTTGTAGCTACAATTACATATATTTATTGTGGTCCTGCTGTTATCATTTTTCAGAAAATGGCTGAAACACTGAAGAAAGTTAGACGCTGGGTCCAAAACAAGAGAAAATCCTTCGTGCCAAACACCCCAACCTCACCGGTCAGAATATATACTGTTTCGCGTATTCCGTATTTTTTAAACTTGACTCATTTTTGGCTTTTTATTATTTTGCTCAGATTTCGGACGAGTCGGCTCGGATTGGCCGCTACTTGAGGACCCTTGATAACGCATTGGACGACATTATCTACGTTCTGGACGATAAGAGACGTCGAGGATATCCCATCTACGAGATGAGTAAGGCGAAACGGAATCAACTAGAAAAAGCAGCAGCATCAATAATGTCGGGAATAGTGCTTGACTTCGTCCCAGTCGAGGAAATGTCGGCAATTCCGCCAGCCACGCCAAGACCATCGCCTCCAAGCCTGCCCGTCACCCCGCCAGCAACAACAATGTCAGGAATAATGCTTGACTTCGTTCCAGTCGAGGAAATGCGGACAATTCCGGCAGCCACTCTAAGACCGTCAACTCCACCACCACTGCCTGTCAATCCGCCAGAAATAGCAGAGGCAGAAATAATAGTTGACCTTCAAGTCAAGGAAATGTCGACAATTCTGGAACCTCCAGCTACACCAAGACCTCCAATTACACTGTTGCCTGTCACTTCGCACGGAACAGCAGTGCCAGAAATTATAGTTGACGAGGAAACATGGACAATTCCAGAACCTCCAGCCACGCCAACATCGTCAACTCCACCGTCACCACTACCTGTCACTCCGCCAAGGTCAGCATCAAGCCAATTTGCAAACCGGAGAAAATCCAGCCGGACTACGAGACCAATTCTGAAATTAAACATCTCCACCACACTCAAGTCCACCTCTGCAAGAAAGAAGGTAACCTTCTCTTACAATTTTAATTCTTTCACTGGATGGAGATCCCCCAGGGATTGCTCTCCGATTTTAACCAAATTAGTGGCAATCGATTAAAAAATTAAGTGGTATGGCAAACTACGCACCAATGAGATGTTTGCATCCAAATAGGCGAAAACACGCAGTAAACTTGGGACGTGTGTATAAAATTTGTCAAGTTTAGGGCGCATTTTCTCCTCTTGGGATGCAAATGTTTCTGCCAAACGTGCCCATTGGGAGATCGTGTCTTTTGCAAATTTCATCCTAATTAAATTTTGCCATGGATTGACACTAGTTTCCTCAATTCAATATTTGCAATCTACTATTGCGTAACTTAACATTGAAATTACGAAGTGTGGCTAATTAACCAAGGTCAGGATGGAAGACTGAATATTAATTACTGACTAACATCTTTTTGTCCATCCAGACTCGTAAAACTAGACGCCTCCACCGCTGCCCCATTTGTCGAAAAGCTTTCTCCTTCAAATCAACCCTGACCCGTCACCGGTTCATTCATCTCAGCCAAGAAGAGAAGACCGTGGCGAAGCAGACTTGGAGAATCGGGTGCTTCTTTTGCCCGGCGAGGTTCCCCAACCAGTCTGCTTATGATCGCCACCTGGTCACCCACACGGGAGAAAAATTCTTTCGTTGCGACCAATGTGGGAAGCAGTGCTCTCAGAGTGGTCAGTTAACGGTGCACAAGCGCACCCACAGCGCCAACCCGAGGCCCTTCTGGTGCGCGGAATGTGACAAAACTTTTGCCCTAAAAGCGGCTCTACTCATCCACAAAAAAGCAGTTCACGAGAAACTGAAGGACGTCGAATGTCCCCGGTGCCCAAGACGTTCAGCGCCAAAGGGGACATGAAGAAACATCTGAACAGCGGTCATCTGAAAATTCGGCACCCCTGCCCCCACTGCGACAAGTCGTTCGCAAATAAAACGAGTCTTGGAATACACGTGAAGAAGTTTCATCCAGCATAATCCAGTCTTTCTCCTGCAAAATGAAGCTGCATCAACTGAGGATGAGTTTTAAATTTAATTTCTTGATTTTATTTAAAAAAATAATAATGAATTATTTTGTTATTAACGAGAACCATTTTTCGCACAGAAGTTCTGTGGCAGAACTCGTGTAAAAACTGCCAATAATAAAATTTGTAAGCATATGTATGTATCAGGTACACAGTTATGGATAATGGATAATTTAAATTATGTAAAGTTTGTGAAATGAATATGTATGTAACATTTAAAGAAAGATAACTTTAAATGAGAATAATAGTTCTTGGAAATTTGTTTTGTAATTTATGTGAGCACTTTGCGTAATCCGATGGAAATACCTATATATGTACCTCAGAATTTGTTCACCTTAAATAAATTAAAATTGTAAAACTCGTCAACATTGTGGTCTTTATTTTGAAAACAGTTTTTCACAAATCATAATTTTTCCATAATTACTCCATAATTGGTCTCATTTCTCCAAAATTTTGTCCCAATCCGGGTAAAACGTTTCCTTCATGCGGATCGCGTACTCTTTCAAATTCTTCAAATCCTCTAAAAATTTAAGCAAAATAAATAAAAATTGCAAAAAGTATTCGCAAAATTGTAAATTTATTATTTTCTTACTTTGCACTGCGGCCTCATAAATCGATCCGGGCAGACCCCACGTGACTTGGGTCAGGTGGCCAAAAATGGTGGCGTCATATTCGCAGGGCGTCTCCCCCAAAATAAATTTCTTGTCTCCGAGCAGTTCTGACAACAAGGTCAAATCGTTCAACGTCAATTGTTCGATTTCTTGTCGGTTGTGCAGCCCAATTCCGTGACCTTTTGACCTCGCCGTGAATGCGCGACCGGCGTAAAGGCGGAAAATGAAGGAACGCCAAACCGGGACGAATGTCCCCATGACTTGACGCAGAGAGGAAAATGGACCGTACACGAAGCGATAGAGGGCGAGACCCCTGAAAATTAGGTTGAATTGTTTCATTAGTTAAACTTAATTAAAATTTGTAGTTAAGTTATAAATTCAAACAATCGTAGGACTGGTCACCTATTTTTGGTGACCAGTCCTACGTAATCGTAGGACTGGTCACCTATTTTTGGTGACCAGTCCTACGTAATCGTAGGACTGGTCACCAAAAATTGCCAAAATCAGCACAATTTTAAACTTATATTTCGGTTCTGGGAATTTATTTTAAAATTATGGACGACTTATTTTTAGACCAGGGAGTTGCCAATTTTTCAGAAATATACCAGCCTCAGAAAAATTAGAACTTATCTAAATGGTTGACCTTAATTTTAAAAAAACTTTTCCCCCAGACTGATGATACAAACCTCATAATATTTATTAAATCCACCTGGATCAAAAAAGTATAACTTGGCTCTAAGATATTACAATTTCCATATTTTTTTATAGAAATTAAAAAAAATATTTCAGATTCTTCGTCATTTAACAAAAATTTCTAGAAATTGTGATGCATAATTTTGTGATCCACCCACCAGAAGAAATGTTCATCCAGCATGATTCGGATCGCTCCACCCACCGCGAGTTTCTCTTTGCTGTATTCGTTGCCCAACTTGACGTCGAATTTTCTGAAAATTTTCGACATTTAAGTACTTACATTTATATAACCAGACATTGATTTACAGACTAAAAATGGAGGTATCCTCCTAGCGTATATTCTCAGATTTTTAGCATTAAACTATCTAAATAGATTTCAATGAATCGCAAGTTTAATCAGTATGCAATTTGCAAAAGATAAGATCTCCCAATGGGCATACGTTTGGCCGAGATATTTGCATCCGTGGAGGAGAAAACACGTCCTAAAGTTGGCAAATTTTACGAAAAGACAGAAACAGAAAACAACCGAAAACACAGAATAAATTTGAAAAGCGAAAAATTTATCGACTTTCAGGTTTTTTCTCCTCTCCGGGGTGCAAATATCTCGGCCAAACGTACCCATTGGGAGATCTTGTCTTTTGCTAATTAAATTTGTGATCGGAAAGCATACGATGGGAGACCTCCATTCTAAAAGGTTTAATAAGTAAATTGAGTCCCAACTTTTTAAGAAAGTCAATAATGAGTTGCGAATCTCCGAGATGTTCTCCATTTAGACTTATCCATGGGAAGCGGCCTTTCGGCCCCCAGGCGTCAGCGAGGGTCAAGTCAGTCTGGAATGTGGATAATGCTCTAATTAGAAATTTGCATACGTAAATAATAAAAAAATTGTCATGAAAAATCCATATCATGTAAATTTGTAAACTGTTTTTCAAATTGTGACAAAATCCTGTAATAAACTTTTCGTATGCATACTTATTAAATTTTGTAAACCTTGCAACATTTTCATGCAGTTTTCGCAAATACAAAGCTTGCAGCCTGAAATGTGGGCAAGGTTCCAATTAGTAATTTGCATACGTCTATATGCATGTACATAATAGTATTAATCTGTGTTATTAATAGCATCTATTTTATTTCTTCTTTCTTTTTGCTAAATTTCATAAACGTTGCAACGTTTTCAACAATTTCATGTAGTTTTCGCAAATACAAAGCTTGCCATTATGTCAAGATTCAATATTTGCAAAATGGAAAAAGTGCACAATTTTTTAAATTTAAAATCTGAAAAAATTAGTGATAATATTTTCGCCCACCTCATAATTAATTTTCGCCATTCTGAGCCATGTTTCCAACTTGACGACATACGGCGACGGATGACAAACGGTTCTTCCTCTGCGGATAGCGTGCATTATTACGACGTCCTTTTTCGTGTGGTTCCATCGTTCTCTGAATATTAATTAATATTAATTAATTAATTTCACTAATTAATAAAATACGTTATTAAAAAAATTCTCACAATCTTTTCTGCATCCGAACCTCCTTAATTTTCGGAATTACAAAAAAATACGCAATAATCACACCACCCAAAATTATCGTGGGCAAAAGTGGCAACATTTTAGCAAAATTTTAGATTTTTTCTTTGATTATATATTCACTCCGATTTTTATTGACTTTACTCACTGACACACAGTTAAATACTAAACGTTAATTATCTAATTATTAAATTGCACAATTAAATTGGAAACCGAATTAAACCGGATTGATTAAGTTAATCAATTTCACATGTACGTGTGCAGATAAATATTTGGTTTAAAGAGATATACTTATTAATTAATTATGTACTTGAATGTTGTTATCTTGTTACATTTTCATGATAACTCTGCAACTTGTTTGCAGTAAAAGATCACCGTCTAATTTTAGAATTCACTAAAAAACGTGTTATTTTGTTCACTATCTTTTATTCATATGTATAATTCATACAGAACATGCATTCAGAACTTTTTAATTAGCCACATTTCTAATTAATTAGTAATTTATAATTAGAAGGAAAATATTTTGTCTAATTAATTGGTAATTAGTAGTTAAACTCATTGACCGATTAATTGGTGATTCTTAGTGATTTTCTAATTAATTGGTAATTATTAAATAGCATGCATGCTATTTAATTAGATAATTAATTAGAAAGCCCTGCATGCATTACACCTAAATTTCTTCTGGGAATATATATATTGAAGTTGTAAATTTCTTCAATCTCGGAGTAACAAAATCATTACGTTTTTCTACTTTTTTCTTAGTGAGACAATTCACGTCAGCCTTCGTAATCACGTAAACTTACGAACATTTCGAAGGCGATTTTTGCTTACGAAGGTAAAAGGCATGTTTTTGGTTCGTAATCTTCGTAAGCTTACGTGGTTATACGAAGGTTGACGTGAATCATATATTTATTTGTAAACGTGTACTTGTAAAGTTGGCAATTTAATTTTCAAGTATGAATGACATGATGCTTTCCACTAAATTAAGGAGGATGAGCTTTGGTTTACTGTATATATAAACAAATGGTAAAATCGCGTCTCCCTGATAAAAGTACATTGCGTCAAGGTCAAGGATTGTGTTTTGTATCACTAAAAAATGCTCGTGGATTAAGCAAGTGTTTTTTGCGGATACATATCTACACAAATTGACAATTAAGTATGATTTACTATGTTAATTTTTTTTACACCATTATGCAACTCATTCGGAACTTTGTGTATAAATAATTTTTTGTCAGATCTGCCAAATTCAGAATCTGCAAATAATTTTGGCCAATGGAATTTTTTTAAGTTTTATCAACTCTCTAAATGCGAAATTTCGAACTGCATTAAATATTCATACGTATTTGTTTAAAATCTTTAAAATCTAATTTTCAAAATATTTCGAAAGTGCGCAAAATATTACAGAAAGCAAAAGAGGGTTTTATTTTATGTATGGCTTGGAGTTTAGAAATATGCAAATTATTTTCTAGCTTGGAGTTTAGAAATATGCAAATTATTGCATAATTCCAATTGTCATTCATTAGCCGACGTAAAATACATCGTATAAAATATATAAAATATATCGTAAAATTAGGTAATAAATCAAATGTGAAACTGGGAACAATTCAATTAATAAAGTGTCAAAAATTTCTATAGATTTTGATTTTTTTGCCGTATCAATTTTTGCAACAATTTTCAAAAATCATAATCATAAAACCACAAACCAATTAAACATCATTAATAATTAAACCGCTTAACTCCACATTTTCACGATGTCGCTCGTTACAAAGCTGTCCACCGCATTTACGCCTCGACTTGCAGCGACGACCACGATTCCACCTCCACCGTCACGCCCAATAATTGACTCACCCAACCTCGAAAGGAGGATGGGCCGACCAGAGGCTGAAATTTTGCCGGAGGTGGAACAGATTAGGAAGAGTTACGCAGCACAAAGTAACACGGATAAAGCAGAAAACGTCGGGCGAAACGCGGACCTTTGCCTCCTCAACTTTACGAGAAACCAGATCCGCATAATTCACCGGCAAATTGTTCGCATGCGGGTCAAGTGAGTGTCAAAATAAAGTAGAAAAGGCAGGGTTTCCTTGTTTTTTGTGGGTTTTGCTACATTTCTGTTCTGGTACCGCAAAGGAAGCAATGCAAGAAATGCGAGGTGCAAGAAACTGGGAGAAAGTGCAAGAAATGTGCGCCATGCAGCCAAGTGCGCCGGAAAGTCGTTTCTTGCGCCTTGAATTTCGTGCAGGTCAAAATATTTAGCTACAAGAAACCACTTTCTTCCCGTTATTTCTTGCACGTGGTTACTTGCACCCGAAACACTGAAACAAACGGGCATTTTTTCGATCTGATCTATGGATTAATAAACTGCATGAAACTGTTATGTATGTAGATGCGCAACAGAATTCGGGCCCCCACCGGAAGCCGCTGGTCCTCTCACTTCCACGCCAAAAGAAGAACCTCGCGTTCTTCGACACATTATGAAATCGTCACCAACCAACATCGCTCCGTCCAAAAATTGTCCTTTTTCATTTCCGTTTTGTCGTGGTGGGAATGGAAAGGAAGACGCGGCCTCGTCAACGTCAACCTTAAAACTCACAATGTCCAATTCCAATTCGAAGGATGCGTTGTTCTCATCTGAGACGAAGCGACGTCTTATCACGGTCGCAATCTTACTATCAGTCATCCTCCTGTTCGCCATCCTTATCACGCAGTATTCGTCCCCTGCGACTGTGACCACGCGAGAAGAATATCGTGACGACGACGACTGTGCCGATTTCGAGTGGGGTCCATCACTTTAAGATAACTTGGAAAATTTGGAAAAAACGTGACAATAATTTCGATACTGTAAATAATTTTCTCTATAAAGTAGTGCATCTTATTGAGTCCTGAATTAAATGTGTACAAGTAGAAATTGACCTAAATAATAAAGAAAAGTGGTTAAAACTATCGTAATTTAGGCCGTGATTGAAAAATGCGTCACAAAAAACGTCTTCAGATGAAGGTGACTTTCACACTTCTGTCGTCCAACTTGTACTGCGCCCACTTGACCCAGGGTCGCCAAGCGGATTCTTTCTTGTCGTCATCACTCCTTCCTCCCCGGCGCCAATTGACCCTTAAATGGCCCGAGATTTGGGGGGATGCTCCGGTCGAAAGTGGTGACACGGTTATTCCCGCATCGCCCAAGGTTTCAGATAACAAGGTGGCAAATCTTGCCCCCTCGACGTCCGCGGACGAAGGTGACAATGACGACGACTGGACGAGGGTTAAAATGGAGGCGTTGCGTTCTTTGGCGAGACTAATGAGATAAGATGATTTAGTTTAATTTTGCAAATTTTCAATAAGTTATCATTGATAACTTATCATGAACAGAGGGCGGATATGTTTTTACGAAAAATCGCTGAAATGGGTTTTCAAACCGGCAATATATTTAGGAAATATAACATTAAAATGGGAATTGTATTTCTGGATATAATGTCTCTTAATTTTTTACGTCGAATTTCTTTGAGGAAACAAATCTGAATTGTTGAAACATTTGCAAAATATATATATTTTTGAAAAAAATACCTCGTCAAATGAAACATTTGAAAATAAGTACATATCCGCCTTCTTATCATGAAATTTAGATACGGGATCATCGTTTACCGTTTCAACTTGAGCACGAGTCTTATCAAAGTTTCCTCCGTGCCGAAATCCGAGTACAGCAAGGCGGAGAGGTCTTCAATGACGATAAGATTTTGTTTTTGAGCTCCAACATCACTTAATGAGGCTGAAATCGTGTCGAATAAGGCGTCACAGGTGTCGACAGGATAATTTGTGTCACCAGTTGAGATGGTTGTCCACTCCTGTTCGATAAGATCGATGAGACGGAGACTTCCATTTTCTGGAGTAAGGCAACATGGATAATTAATTATCAGAAAAGACAAGATGTTATGTTACATAAATATGTTCTCGCTTACTCTTCATCTCGCCCAAATTCCAACCCAACTTTGTCCCAATTTCGCCCCAATGTCGACCAGATTGTGTCGTTGTGACGAGAATGACCACACCGAGTTGTTCTCGCTGGTTAATGAAGTCACGGAGGAGAAAGTGTGTCGCAAATTGGGCGTCGATATCTGACCAAACAATTAATTTTACGTTTAATTATAACTAATTATTGTAATTTTGCACATAAATTCAAATGTTATCATTAAGACCTACTTTGACCGACTTGCTCCACGACAAAGAGTGTACCCGGCGTATCGAGGGTGTGACTGGGAAGACAAAGTGACGACAAGAGTGACATTTTTTCGACACAATTCACAATTTATCACAATTAAATTAAATTAATTAAACATGCGACAAACTGAGTTCAAAATTACGATCTCTCTCAAAATCGTTTATTCGAAAACCCAGCCTGACTAATTTTACATTACGAAATAATTATTAATTATGAAATCTTATAAATTCTAGAAAATAATAAATATTCCAAAATTTTATTTTTTGCAAATATTTATTTCAGTGAGACTGAAATCAACTCGAACTGCACATGTTGTAAAAAGTTCCCGGCCCGGCTTTCCTAAAATTCCCTCGATTCCACAACAAACGGAATTTTGTTTATGAAATTTTGTACAATTTAATTAATTAAGTCAGAAATTAAAATAATTTCACCAGCATTTTGTAGTCCACTCCCCCCTCACAACATACACAATGAAGGCTGAATATAAATCCAAAGTATTTCGTCCCCTCGTCACCCTTGCGCCGCGCAGTCTCGCAGCCGTGTTATCTAATTCGACACCATCCGGAGGTGAATTGACAACATGGTCGCGGCAGTTCTTTGTCGACGCTCCTTTTGTGCGAAACTTTGTTGTCGCAGGGGCAGAAGTATTCGCCACAGTGCAAAAAGAGGTTGGTTTTAATTAACAAATTTTTATTTCAAATTCGAACCGATAACAAGATAAGTAATTAAATGTACTTTAAATTAACTGTTGTATCCTTGATCTCAGTACAAGGCGCACTACCCGGACCCCGTCCCACCCAAAATAGTGACCTCTTTGTCCCGCATGTATCGCACATTTTTGTTGGAGCTGTGTCAAAATCTCAAGGCGACGGGTGACCTTACTTCCGCAGACCTTTACTCCAATCTCGACTTTGTCTGGAATTTCTGCGAAATCATGTTCCTCTCGTCACACCCGGGTATTTATATTTCGCCGTCGTCATTGTTAATTATCATTAAAATCACAAATTGCTGTCTTAACTTGTCAATATTTTCTTAGACTTTCCCGTCCTGCCATATTTGGTCGACTGGATCCACCTTAATTTCGACTTGACGTCTGAAATTCTGCCAAAAGTGGTGGCCGAAGGGTCCGAACTGGAGGAGGAGACAACCCTCGAATTGTGGAACCTCATTTACTCCCACGTTTTTCATGGTATGAATTTAAGCCCAAAATTTGCCTACTTATTTTCAAAATTTTTAAATAAATTTCGCTCCAGGCACGACACGGGAAGCGGCCCGTCTCCTTAGCTACTTGGGTGGAGAAAGCGCCTCGTCCACGACACAACGCCACGTCGCCCTGATGGAGGAACTGCTTTCCAAACGACCAGAATTTCGCCCTGAGGACGCTGCCTCCTCTCTCACCGAGTTCGAAGCCCTCTTCACTGCTTGGCAGGAAGAATGTGTGAACCGACTGGAGAACGGGGCGTTTAGTGGGAGTCCAAATTTCACCCTTGTCTGCAAAGTTCGTGTCAAATAGAAATAACGATTATTATCAGACGTCGGATATTTATTTACTATCAACCTCGAAAAAATTTATTTTATATTTTCATTCAAAACCCGAAAATATTTTCTTAAATATTTTTTTATAAATTCAGATTTTGGGCTCGATATCCAACTGGTTATAGCTCAAATCGCATTTCCAACATTTTGCCATTATAAATGGGTGATATTAAAGCTTTGACACGCTAAATCTGTGAAATAGTCAATGGAAATTCCATTGAGCACATATACCATCTACTTCCATAAAGCGTTAGTGTTAAGTCGCTGCCTGCCTGACTTTGTGATCGAGTCCAAGTTACCCCGTAGAGGAGACAAAGAATGAAGCGGAGCAAAAACTGCATGCATGAATTTTCTGCATGAGTCTCACTTCGCCTGCACGTGACTTTCACGTACGTACACTTGCCATCAAACTCAAATTAAATGTTTTAATATATAAACACAGTGTGCAAGTAAATTGAGTGTGCAGTATACATACATCACATCACTCATCAATAGTGGTTATCATGATAAGTGATCTTGATAAACACTATTAATTAATTATTTTAGTGTGAGAAACTCCACCCACAGCGAGTGGCATATCAATTCCAATGTATTTTTGACGCTGAATCCAACGCCAATGGTTTTGACCTCCGAGGCCCCCGTGACCTTCCCGTGACCGTGGGGGGTAAATATGGCTTATTCGTTATGTCGCATATCAATTCGAATGTATTTTTGACGCTGAATCCGAATCCGTCAATAGCTTGGCGTTAATTGTAGAAGTTAACGGGGTTTATGGAACTTAACGGGAGCGTGAAGCGTGGGAATTTAAATAGTTAGCTATGCAGTTACTCCCACGCGACGGGAATTTAAGTAATTAGCTATTCAACTACTCCCACAAGGGGAAATCAAATTGTACTGTGACCAGATTAATTAAAATGCAGCATGTATGTGGTATGACAAAGTCTCCACTGGGAATTATAGTATGGGAAGTATAGTATGACGGATTTTTCGCTTTGGGCACACCCCCCACTGGAACCCTAGAACCCGGCCTTGGCCGGGCTATACGCTAGTTCCATAATGGAATGGTATATGTGCTCATACATATGTAAATACATATGTACATACTTATGTATGGATTTGCATCAAATTCTTGTTTAGCGTCTTGAAAATTTGGCACACCTTGGACATTGATACCAAATTTCAGCTTTTTCTAACCAATTTCAAAAATCGTTGTAGATCACCCTCTGGTTAGCAGGAGGAAGGTTCACTTCTTGGCAACAATCGATTTTAATACCTTTTGGAATGTTGCGGTGCGGTATCCTACGAGTGTACGAAAACTCCCAAAGGCATCGAATTTTGTTCTTGGCAAGTAGTGAAGCTTTAATCCCAAGTAGTTTTCGATCAGCATGAATTAAGTCAGAATTCAAGAGTCTTGAAGTCAGAATTAAAAAAACACTAAACATTGTTTTATTGTTTGGAACAATAAAACATTTAAAATGGCATCCATGATTCCCGTTCAAAACTCATTACTCTGAATTAAAAGTTACTAAAAAATTTGGACACTTTTAAATAAACTCCAAAAATGAAATTTTTTGTGAAAAAATGCCCAAAAGTTTAAAATAACCATGATTTTCCGATAAAAAAAATATATTTTTTAAAAAAGGTAAAAAAATTTACGTAAATATTTATATTTTCTAAAACCCTAAAATATTGAAAAATATTGAAAAAATTTTTTCGACAGTGTGACCTACTCATGACCATAAAGGTCCCTGCCAAGTTTGAAAATCATCGGGCGCAAATTGAAAAAGTCATAAATAAATAAATCTCCGACGTCTGATTATTATATAATGACGATTAATTAATTTCGTCACTTGTGACTATTTTGACGGAATTAACATGATTTCGTCGTTTGTGGTGACTAATTGTGACACTTATTTTATGCAGATTCTCTGCGGGGATGATGAGGCTTTTGCATCTGCCGTTGCGAGGGGTCTCATCACATGGTACGAGTACATGGTGCTCCTTCTGAACTACAAGTATCCCACCATCCGCCCCGCACAACTTAAAGCCTACGCCGTCCGCACCCTGCAACAGCTCGATCTCGTCGACAAGTTGGAGGCGAGGTGAACAGCAACACGATTTATAAAAAATCGTGGGTTCGATTTCTGTTTTTGTTCCCGGAAAACGGGGGGAATAAATTCCAACGGTCTGTACAAAAACGGACCATAAAAATGTTAGAAATTGTCGGAAAATTCTCTAAAAGATCTTTCCCCCCCTCTAATTCAACGTTTGCGCCACAAATCGAACCCAGACAAAAATCAAATCGACCATTCTTTTAATAATATCTTCTTATTTAAGGGACGCCATCCTCCTCCACGCCATGGATTTAGACGTGGTCTCAGTCCTACGTGAAATAACGGCCGTCTGGGACAATCCATGGGTCGCTCTGCACCTCTCCGATCTCATTTTCGCCTGCGGACGGAGCTCGATTTCAACCTCTGCGCAAAAACAGCGTCGAGGAGACGATGCAAGTTTCGACTTTGCCTGCGTTGTTCCTCTCAGAAACGACTTTCTCCTCGAATACGGCACCACCCTCATGGAGCACGAGACTCTTTGGCAGGTTGGTTGGTTAATTGGTGACGCGAATTAAATTATAATTGACGTCATGACTAACTAAGTTGTGCTTCTGCTTGGCTTCAGATGGGTCTCTGCTACCTCGACGCGTTACCTGATGGAAAGGGCCGTCCCGTCATTCGGACCTGTTTCCAACATAGGAACCCATTTTCTGAACAGGAAGCTCAAAAACTCGTTCAGATCGCCGAACGGTATGGATTCGGGGATGAAAGTGAGTTTGAGTTATCTATCGCTTATCAACTAAGATATGTTTCTAGGCTTATTTAACCCGATCTTACCTTTCCAGTAAAAGGAATCTGTCGCCAGATTTGTCTTTCGAAACTTAAAAGAGGTGGATCATCGCAAGCTCAAAACGCACTTCTCTGGGCAATCAAGGCGGGCGATGAGGCGCTAACGACCCGGATCGTGGACAAGATTCTGTTCGAAGGTGACGCCCAGATCGACGTTGCTCTGCTTGACGCCCTTCTCGCCAACGTTCTCGACGCCAGCCTTGCATTCCTCCACGAGTTTTCTATCTTTCGAAGAGCCGTGAGTGAGGGGAGAGGTCGTGACGGGGTTGTTTCTCTCTGCTCGATGATTAAGAGGGGTGTCATTCCAAAAAGGTGGACAAAATTATAGAAAAATAGAATTAAAATATCTGCAAGAAAATGATTTTAATAATTACTACAACTTTTTTGGACAGACTCGCCATCAAAATCCTATCCAAAAACGAGTCCATTTTTGACGATGGGTCAAACTTCGAAGGGGACGATGTGACCACGTTGATGGAATACGTCCAAAGGACCCTCGTCACGCAGCGAGGCGACGACTACAACTCGGAGGAAGAAAGACAAGTCACCGATTTGAATAGAAAATTGATAAAAATTAGGGCTTATCGAATCATGTGCGAGTTTCGGCGCAAAGCAACGGGTGCAGAGGAAGAGGAGGAGGATAGCAATACTGAATTCGTCTATGGTGAAGCGGATGACTATTAAATAGTTTAATTAATTAATTAAATACATTTACACCTATAAATCCTATTTAAATTAATAGTTCCAGCATAATTTATAAAAGAGGCTACAATTTATTCCCAATCATTTTTCTCCCCATTGATCCAATTATATTACAAATTTGTACACAATTATAAATTTTGCATCGTTTCCAAAAGTAAATAAATCGTATCTTTAAACATTTACGAATAAGAATTTTCCCCCGATTTAACCGAATCGCTTAGATTTTAAGTTGAGCTTGCCGGCTTGATTCAGAAGCCTCCCTCGCTGCCAAAGTAGCCTCGGACGAGGTAGCCGACGCCGAGCAGGGTGACGACGACGAGTTTGGAAGCATCATTCATGTTGTTGCCCTTGTTGCAATAGTCCGTGTCGCAAATGCAGAGGTCATCTTTGCAGGAATTCATCTTCATGAGGCCCTCACTTTCTATAGTGGCACACATGCTGCCAATTGTCTTGTGGGTTGCACAAGCTTGAACTACAAAAGAGAGTCACGATTAGATTAGAGAAGACTTGAAAATTTAGTATGTGCAGTACTTTGTATCAAAGCACATACGTTTAGGGCTGTATGGACATTTCGCCTTGTTTCTTTCGCCCTCTTTGCTCGCAGCGGTGAAGTCCTTACAAGCCACGGAACGTTTAACCTTCGCTTCATAAGAATCGTCCAAAAAACTAAACATCCTGGCATTCGATCCCTCCGTAGCAGAGGTCGACGCCGACAAATTTTCGGCGGCGGCGGCGCCAGTTTTTGGTGATTTTTCGGCGGCGTCGGCGGCGCGGCGCGGCGTCGCAATTTTAAAGGAATAGGAAATCAAATTTTTCGGCGGCGGCGGCGCGGAAAAATCATCGGCGTATGGCGGCGCGGCGGCGTCAGATCGGCGGCGTCGACCTCTGCTCCGTAGCAGCCTTCGCGTTCGGTCCCTGACAAATGTAGCAGTCCTATCGTGCAATCCTATTGTGCAATCCTATCGTAGTAAATAAACAAACGATGAAAATTTATCAATGTTTTTGTTGATAAAAAGTATTTTAACGATGAAAATTGTAAATAATATAGTTATTAGTTTCCGCGGAAGCGTGGGGACAGAAGGACAGTTCCCCCCCCCCCGGTTGTTCGATGTCCCCATCATCTGATCAGGTTGTATAAACCCCTGCATCCCTCATCTTACAATGTTAATGTTCCCACGGCTTCCGCGACGACTGATTGTGAAAGACTGCCTGTCTTCTTTTGCAGGCCATTCCTGAAGATGACTGGTTCTGCGCAAACTGTCCCCAAATACATACACAAATAGGCCCCCAAGTAAACTCAAACACACCGTCGCCTGCAAATCAGTCTACTCTAGGCACACATAGTCAAATTACACAGTCAAGCCCCTGTACAAATCCACGTGCATCACAACCAATTTCTACATTAAGTACACCACTTTCAAATTTTATATCTAGCAAGGCAACATGTACATCTCTCACATTAGAGTGGCTAAATAACAATATAGTCCCAGGAGGTATAATTGAGAAAAATCTGTTACATGAAGCGTATAGACAGGACTCGTTAGGCATTTTCAAACCCTTAAACGATGCAGAAATTGGGAAATTGATAAAAAATTCATTTTCAAACATTAGACCAAAAGACTTAGGACAGAATTTCATGGCGCTTCGAAATATCATTACGTAGGGATCCAGTTAAAATCAGAACAAGTTCCAGAAACTGTTTTTGATTTCAAATCTATTATTTCCTCTCTTAGGCAAAATTGTCCAACTCTCAAACAATGCCCCAAGGCCTGTAGAATTCCGGTAGCACAATCAATCAAGTCAGCCATAGATAAATGTATAACTGAAAACACACCAGAGGCATGGCACCTTCTTTTGACTTTTCCATATGTAACATTACAATGTGATTCAAGGGCAAATATAAAGAATGGTCAAAGTCTTAACAACAAAATTAGAAATAATTTATCTATTTTTGAATCCTTAGATAAAAATACTTATCAGGACTATCTCATTTCACTTTCATCCAAAAATTCAGTCTTTGATAAGTCAGGTAGCAAAATCAACGACATAGGGCCAAAAGTCATATCTAAAGTTTCCGAAGGAAATATTCGTGGCGCGATACGGCTTTTAACATCAGATGATGTTGTCGCTCCCAATTCTTCAGCGACTTTGGACACACTTGTAGAAAAGCACCCACAACAATCTTTAGACAATTTTACTGTTTTAGATGAGCCTAACATTCCACCATTTACTACGACAACAGGTTATCTCAGCAATATTCTCATTTCCTAGTGGTTCAGCAGGGGTTTAGATGCATTACGACCACAAATTCTGAAAGATCTAGTTTCACAACATACTGGTGACGTAGGAACTCAATTGTTAGAATCTCTTACAAAATTTTGCAATTTTATGTTAGCAGGAAAAGTTCCTTTAGATATTTGTCCTTTCATTTACGGTGCAAGTCTTACGGCCCTTAAAAAGAAATCAGGTGGTATTAGACCTATAGCGGTAGGCTGCACTTATCGTAGAATAGTTTCAAACATTTGTGTGAAGGTCATGAATCATGTCTTTCAGGATTATTTTAGTCCAGTCCAAGTAGGTTTCAACGTAAAAAATGGTGCTGAAGCAGGAGCACACGCTGCCCGTAGATTCTTTTCCTTTCCACATCAATCACCTACAGCCTTCCTTAAAATCGATTTTAAGAATGCATTTAATATGGTAGATAGAGGGAAATTGCTTCATCCGTTCACGAACTTGTACCAACTTTGTATCCTTATATTAATCAGTGCTATAGATTCTCATCCAGTCTTGTGTGGAATTCTTCTTTAATTGATTCATGTAGAGGTGTTCAACAAGGAGATCCGTTAGGTCCACCACTTTTCTGTTTAACCTTGCATCCAGTCATTTCAAATTTAGGGTCAGAATTTAATATGTGGTACTTAGATGATGGTACATTAGGTGGCAATCCTACTACAGTGTTAGACGATTTTCAACATATTATCTCATGTGCAAATGAAGTAGGTTTAGAATTGAACTTTGATAAATGTGAGGTTTCAGTTTTAGGTCCACAAACTAACACGCAATGTATACTAGAATCTTTCCAATCAGTTGCACCAGGTATTTCATGTATGACTCAGGAAAATGCTGAACTTTTAGGTGCACCTTTGACTCTTGAATCTATTGAACATGTTTTCCGCAAAAAGATTCACGCTTTTACTAACATGGCTGGTCGATTGCATTCCATTCCAAGCCATATTGCGTATTATCTCTTGAAACATTCGCTAGCTATTCCACGATTAGTTTATCTACTAAGGGCAGCCCCTATTTTTAAATCTCCACATTTGCTAGAGGAGTTTGATTCATTGCTCCATAATGCATTAGAACAAATTACAAATTGCCAAACTAATCCTTTGTCTTTAGAAGAAATTGCATTACCAATTAAATTAGGTGGTTTAGGAATTAGACAATCTAAAACATTGGCAACTCCATGTTTCCTTGCATCTTCATTTGCCACCACTGACTTGGTTTCTTTAATTTTGCCCTCGTATGTCACTGCTTTGTCCGATTCACTTGTGACCGAGGCGCAGGACTTGTGGAAGTCAATTAGTTGTGAAGAACTACCTCGCAGTACAATTACTTCTTTTCAATCATCCTGGGAAAGTCCAATTTTCAATTACGTATCTTCACGTATCCTGGAATCATCCACCACCCCAATAAATACTGCTAGGATTTTGGCATCAAGGTCAAAAGAATCAGGTGCATGGTTGCAAGCTTTACCATCGAGGAATTTAGGCACACTTTTAGACGATAATTCCTTCAGGATTGCAATAGGTTTGAGGTTAGGGTTAAATTTATGTTTCCCTCATAAATGTGTTTGCGGCGCACAAGTAGATGAACTAGGCTTACATGGTCTTTCATGCAAAAAAAGTGCTGGCAGGCACTCTAGATATACGCAAGACAATGACATTATAAAGAGAGCCTTAATTTCTGCAGACATACCAAGCATTAGGGAACCATTAGGGTGTTGTAGGACAGATGGAAAAAGACCGGATGGTCTAACACTAATACCTTACAAACAGGGACGCTCACTAATATGGGACTTTACATGTACAGACACTTTTGCCCCCTCTTATCTCTCTCACACACTTAGACATGCTGGCACAGCAGCAAAACTAGCCGAGACCAAAAAACACAAACTGTACTCTGAACTTAAAACAAACTATATCTTTCTTCCGGTGGCTATCGAGACATCAGGAGTATGGGGGACGGAAGGGTTGAAGTTCATCCAAGATGTTGGGAGGAGGATGAAGGATGTCACTGGACCAATGTCAACAACTTTTCTCATTCAACGGATTAGTTTGGCAGTTCAACGCGGGAATGCGGCATCAATCATGGGAGCTGTCCCCAGTCAACGAGAATTAGAAGAATTATTTTATATTTTAAATGATAGGTCGTTTTATTTACAAAAATCATGTAAGGGGCCGAATGGTGATCTCGGACGCCTATCCGGATCAAGTAAAGGTTTTCCCAACCCACCAACATCGGGTTTTTCCTCTACTCCCCAAGCCAACTAAGTGTATTTCATAGTTTATCAATGTTTATGTTAATAATAAATAATTGTGAAAGAGAGGATGGTATACAATCCGGAACTTTTTCTCTACTAACCTTTCGCCGAAGGGACGCGCTCCAAAATCATCACGACGGCGACGACGACGAGGAACAGTTTTGACGAGATTTTCATCTTCTTTGACGTTTCCCTTTCAGGTCGAGACAGTGTCGTGGTCGTCGTCCGGGGTGGGGAGGACAAGGAGCAAGGACGAAGCTGGCCAATTCGAGCAGAGAACAGGAGAGGTCAAGGAGCAAGAAAGTCAAGACTGGGACAGAAAACACGACTGTTCGCCTGAAAAGTTGCGAGGCACTGAAATTTTTACAATTTTTCCTCACTTTTCCAACTGGAGGAGATCCGTTGGCAGGGAAATTTCAGGCCGAATTTCAGAAATTTTAAAAATTACGGGGCAGATTTGATACAGCTCGAGCCAGTCGTTCTTCGACGAAAGAACGACTTGGGAGAGAATAAATACGAAGTGGGATAGAGAGAAGGTGGATTGTGGGTAGGAATTGCCAATGCCTTCGTAGTGTAATGGTAAGCACGCCTGACATGTAATCGGGAAGTCCGGTAGTCGAAACCCGGCAGGGGCATTACAATTTTTGCCAAATCCACCTCTCACTATGACTTGGAAAGTCGTTCCCCACATGTGGTAGACCAGCTGTTCGATCTCAACCCTTTCACTGTCCAACGAGTACACGGGGTTCCCCACCCGTTTCCCCCCCGTCCCAAGAATAACACATGCTATCTCAGCATCGTTACTTCGCGAGAATAGTGTGGCTATTCAGGCCAACAGAGCCCCCTCCAAATATTCCTCCCCTTAAACGTCAAGCCTAGTGTAAGCCGCACAGTCCGCATCATGAGAAGGAGTGACATCATATCTCTCTCCGTTCATTAGTACTGGGTGGGGACCAGCGAATACAGATCACTTAAAGAAGGATGAAGATATGGTTATTGTTTCAGTACAGGGAAATGGGGTTCCAAATGCTGTGATTGGCTGACGGTTTTTATGGGCATCCGCCCATAAAAACAGGGCCGTGGCACAACTCAATTTTTCCCAATCTCAATTTCCCCATTACTTGGAAATCTCACTCCTTTCTTGGCACCAAAATCAGGTGTCTCCTTTACCATCATTCTTGCTGCCAAACTCGGAAAAGCTGAGTAATTAAAAGATTATTTAGTATCCTATAAATTAATTTTCTGACATCCACTCAATTACATAAATCGCTTCAACTCACCACAAGTTAAGCTCTAAGCTTCAACTCTCGGTAAGTAATAAAAGAATTACTATTTTTAGTAGACATCTCTGCGGTTTTCGAGGATAATACTTGATTTATTGAAAAATTGCTAGCTTTCAGTGACCCACAGTCATCTTCATCAGGCATGTACACTATTTTCTTTCAACAATGAACGGTGGGGACACAAATATGGTGGTGACACGTTCATTTTTACGAGTGATTTGAATGTTAATTTATTGTGTCATCGCCGGCCAACCTGGTAAATAACAACTTTAACTGGATTCTGCAACAATAAGGACCAAGGAACTTGTATTTCGTAAAGTATGGTTCATGCTTAAACCCCTCGTTACATAACGTCGCCATAGCGTTAGCGTTCCTTCCTTCATAACGGGTTTACACTTTCTGTAGTTTTTACGATCGCTTTCTCTCAACGCTAGTTTTAGCTATCGGTCATCGAAGGGAAAGTAAAAACCCGTAAAAAATCATAGCCATTTCATAATCTCACAAAAACAATTATGCCGGCCCCCGATCGACGTTTGATTGCCAAAATCTTCATTCTCCGGAGACTTCGAAGAAAATTGAAGCGAAAAGTGCGAGCTTCAATCCGGCCTATGTTCTGGAATCGAGTGGACCAGGGAGACAGCATTTTAATGAAAGAATTGCGTGAAGACCCTCATTATCATCACCGTTACTTCCGGTAAAATGCATATACAAAGTTGTTTCTCAATATATCAAACTTTTAATACATTTTACAGGATGAATATGGAAAACTTTGATGAGATTTTGATGCTGATTACTGGGGAAATTACAGGAAAAATGACCCATAGCCGACCTATTTCTGTCGAAGAGAAACTTGGGATAACTTTAAGGTAATAATTTGATATCAAATATAGTTAAGTGCTGAGTGAAAATGACCTCTATCTACTAGATTTCTTGCCACCGGAGCTTCCCAAATCTCTCTCTCCTTCAGTTATAGAATCTCGCCTTCCTCAGTTTCGAAGATTCTACGAGAAGTTTTGCAAACAATAGTGAAAATATTCGGCCACATTCATCTACCACCACCGACAACTGATCAATGGATAACCAATGAGATTGGCTTCCGAACTCGGTGGAATTTTCCAAATTGCGTTGGTGCTGTAGACGGGAAACACTGCAGAATTCAAGCACCAAATTTTTCGGGGTCCACTTACCACAATTATAAAGGCTTCTTCTCCATTGTTCTCATGGCTGTTGTCGACCATAAATACAAATTTTCTGCTGTGGATATTGGAGCCTCGGGTTCGCAGTCAGATGGAGGCGTATTTGGACGATCGGAAATAGGAAAGAGGCTTGAAAATGGAAAATTGGGGCTACCAGAGCCAAAAATAGTTGGACCTCACCTCCAACCCCATGTTATCGTGGCTGATGACGCTTTTGCTTTAAAGCCTTACATGATGAAGCCATTCCCAGGAAAATTTCTCACCCTGGAGCGTCGTATTTACAATTACCGTCTTTCTCGAGCGAGAAATGTGTCGGAGAATGCATTCGGGATGTTAGCTGCTAGATGGAGGATATTTCACACGCCAATAGTTGCATCACTTGACTTAACCAGGCTCTATCCTGGTTAATCTATTAATCCATGCCGCAGTAATTCTCCACAATTTGCTTATTGATAAGCAAGATATGAATACGATAACGGCGGATTCAGATGATGGGAACACCACTGGAAATTGGAGGGAGACTACCACTGGGGACATGGGAATGATCTCTTTGCGGCAACAAGGCAGCAATAACCGGCGTCTAGAAGCTATACTTGTACGGGACAGATTTTTAGAATATTTTGACAGTAATGAGGGTAGTGTTTCATGGCAAATGTCAAGAATTTCATAATTTATCTGTTAAAATGCCTAATTTAATATGCTTTTTGCAAATAAAATCTCGTTCATGAAAAACAAAGGATTTATTTACTGCAACTTTTGAATAACAAGCCAGAATTATTTAAAAACATTTTAATGACTTAAAGCTGTATAATTACGCAAGAAGTTCTATTTCTGCATCAAGCACTGCATCATTGATTTTGCGCTGAAGATTGAGAAATACTTTCCGGTCTAAATCTGCAATTCTCCGCAGTTTTGGGGCCAACATTTTTCCGAAGCTGTCGTGTTCATCATCGTTTGATTTGAGCAAATCCAGCATCTCTTTGTCAAATGCGTCCAATTTTCGTTTCTACGAATTAAATCAGAGTAATTGATATTATTTATAATTGTTGTCTAAATATAAATGATTCTTCTCGTTCAAATACCTTCGATGGTAAAGCTGGTTGTGACCGTGGTACAAGTACAGAAGTCGTCGTTGTCTCCTCTTCAATTGAGAGTGGGTCAAAATCTTCGGGGAGCTTATCCACGTCAATCACTTCAATCTGGATCTCCGACCCCGGTCCATGCATTTCCACAAACGAAGAATCATCTTCAGTCACGAGATTGGACACGGTACTGTTTGTTTAGAGATAGTTTCATTACCAAAATTATTTAACCAACTCATTACTCAATTAAATATAAACTACTATTACCTTTCATCCGGGTCAACAATGTCACGGATGAAACGCATTGCTCCTTCATGCCGGAAGAAGGGACGTGGCTTGTCCTCTTTTCCACTTGGATTGCGTAATTTGCGCAGGAATCCGCTGAATTGGCTGCGTAATTTTGTCCACAGTTGTTGACAATCGAACTCTGAAAAATTGCCTTTTTAGAGTTAATACAAGTGAGAATATAGACTCTGCAGTAAAACAAACTGACCTGTCTTTCCTAGTAGCTTTCCAATTTCCTCCCACATCACCGCACGAGTGTTTCTATTTTTGTATGCAGGATCCTTCTTGTCGTACAGTGCTGGACGTTGCTGAACTAGAAGAATTAATTTTTCTTCCAGATCCAGTGGAGATTTGGGCGCAGATATCACTTTTGTAGTCATTTTGTAAAATTTTGAAATCGCAAATGGAAATATTTATAAAATTGTAATGGTTTCTAAAAATTTCCTTGCTCCTTCATCCGTGTAAAAGTTGAACTCTGTTCAACTTTCATGGTGATCGTGAAGGTGCCGTGAAATGAAGGAGGAAACAATGCATAAACCCGCATGGCGAATTGCATAGCGACCGCTATGGCGACGCGAATGTAACGAGGACGGGAACTAAAAACCCGTCGGTTATCAATTCTCTAAGAGATCGCTACAATTAATCAGAAAGCATAAACGCACCTTAATGCACTATATTTTATTGAAGTATAGACTCATCAATTACCATTAGTTGTTGTTCGTGACCTGGTAACAGTGTGAAATTGTCGGAAACTTCGTTAAAGTTTTGCAAGATTCAAAAATAGTTTCTCATATAATGAACGGTGAATACACATATATGTACATTCATGTATGGTGAAAACACTCTCATTGTTGGAAATTAAGTTCCACTAAATTTATTTTTGTGAATTGCAGATATAATATTTGTGCCAACTGTTACTCAATATTGTGACCTATTGCCCCTTCCTCCACCAGATCCGTGTCTCCACCGGTCAATTTATCTGATCTATCAGTGTGCGTTTATACAAAGCAAATTCAAATTATATCTTCACACCCACTCTTTCGCTACCAATGAGCAGTCGATAACTAAAATGTATCAATTTTATTACAGGTTCACCTATTTGACAAACAAGGGTACTTAAATCAATGTGACTTTGTCAAGACTATTAAAAAACTTTCAAAACTTCGCTTAAGGTAAATTTTATTTTGATCTTAAAAATAGTTTCTTTCCTCTAGAATTAAAAGAATAATGAACGGTGGAGACACATTAATATGGTGGAAACACGTTCATTATTGCAAGCAACTGTTACATCAATATTTCCTTGTTATTTTGTTTAATTACAGACTCATCAATTACTATGAGACCTTGTTCGTGACTCGGGAATAGTGTGAAATTCTCAGGAACTTCAGTAAAGTTTACCAGGTTCAACCATAATATTAAAATAATAGTTTCTTATCTCCAAAAATTTAAAAAAGCAACGAACGGTGGACACACACATGTATATGGTGGAAACACGTTCATTTTAATTACAGATTCGCCTTCATGTACTCAAATTCAGTGTGACTTTATCAAAACCTTCTTCAAAATCTTCTTAAAATAAACAATTAACGGTGGAGACACATAAATATGATGAAAACACGTTATTTGTTTCAAGCAGGTTTCAAATTACTAATTGCTTGTTATTTTTCGCAGGAAATCCAGCTGCTCAAAACATTTATTTGAATTTAATAAACCGTCGTTTGTCACAGTCCGAAATATAAAGTGTTGCGGTACTAATTGTGATAATTCTTGAAACCAAGAAAATCGTAATTACTCCTTTCTGCCAAAGCGTCAGGTACAACTTCCGATGCAAAATAACTCATTTCTCTCATTCTTTTTTCCTCTGATAGCTAATTTTAGTTTTTTTAAAGGTTCCAGCAGTGGTGTAAAATTCTCGACATCGATAAGGAAAACGTATCACCTAAAACTGTCGTTTGCAGCAAACACTTTTAGCCACCTTCAAGAAATTTCTCAAAGAGTTTTACCGACCTCTCCACCCCATTTGTGTCTTCACCATTGTCTGTGTCTCCACCGAAAGGGGGGTGGGTTAATTTATCCTTTATATGAACAAGAAGATAAAGATTAGAAATAAGTTTCACTACAGTTTGAAGTAGAAGAACCAGAACCACATTCAACTGTTTCCATTTTCCTTATATACTCAAGGCACGAAAATTATTGCTACTATTTGTAATAAAATATTTTGCAACCGGGAAATTATTTCGATGTTTGGTTATTACGGCAAAGTTGTTTTTATTCGTGAAGATGCATTATTAAATTTATAAACAACAAGGAAGTTTTATTCACATTAGATAACAATTTCTTTATCAATATTGCCGGTGGATACACACTTTCAGTGGTGACAACACGGCTGTGGAGTATGTGTTATTAGTTGTTATTTAGATACTTGTTAAACGTAAAGTAAGTAAAGTTGTATTTATGCTAAATCAATTTAGTCGCATCCGAATGAATATAATTTGTTGCAATAAATTTGGTTTTAAATCTGAATCACAAGTTCCAGTTTTTAATTAATTATTCGAACTTAGAAAGTCGCAAAAATTCTCCATTCGAGATGACGAAAATCTGTAAAAAAAAATTAAGTCACATTAAATCCTTAGCATGGTTGTAAAACTCTAACCTATCTTGTCCTTAAACTTACTTTTAATTGATGATGGTGGGTGGGTGTGGTCCAGACCGAAGCACAAAAAACTGTTTTGTTTTCTGGGACGTAAAATATACAGTGTGAGGAGAGATGGTAAAGGGTAGAGTGAGACGGATGGTCGGAGCGAGTGCTACGGCTTCACTTACGCGGCATCAAAAATACATGGAGAAATTTGAACTGCGAACCAGCCAATCACATCATTCCAGCCCCGTCCTATACTGAATAACTAACATTGGAACTGTTTATCTCTATATGATACCATGATCATTGGGTGGGGACCACCCAAAAATTTCTCGGGGCAACTGTGAGAGAATAAATACGAAGTGGGATAGAGAGAAGGTGGATTGTGGGTAGGAATTGCCAATGCCTTCGTAGTGTAATGGTAAGCACGCCTGACATGTAATCGGGAAGTCCGGTAGTCGAAACCCGGCAGGGGCATTACAATTTTTGCCAAATCCACCTCTTACTATGACTTGGAAAGTCGTTCCCCACAGACTCAAAATCGTCGAAGGAAATATGTTAAAACATATTTATATGTCCCAAAACCTGGAAATATGTAAAATATGTGAAAACATTTTTTTGACCGTGTGACCTATGCCTGACCAGGAACAATATCCCAAAGTTTCAACCCGATCGGGTTATTATTGAAAAAGTTTAAAATATATACATACCCGGACTCTGATTGAGAGGGGTGTCATCCCGAAAAGGTGGACAAAAATATCTAAATTAGAATTCAAATATCGGGAAAAAAATGATTTTAAAAATTACGATAACTTTTTTTGGACAGACTGATCAAAATTCTGTCAAAAAACGAGTCCATTTTTTTCTTTGAAGGGAACGTTGCTCACGCAGAGGCGACGACCACAATTCGAAGGAAGAAAGATAAGTCAGAGTAAAATTAATTAAAAATAGGCCTTATCGAATACTGAATTCGTGTATGGTGATGCGGATGACTACTAATTTAAGCTTAATTAATTATAAAATACATTTAATCCTGTAAATCCTACCTAAACTAATTGAGTACATCGTACATCATATTTATAAAGAGAGGCAACAATTTATTCCCAATAATTTTTCTCCCCATTGATCCAATCATATTACAATTTTGTACCCAATATGAATTTTGTACCGTTCCCAAAAGTAATAAATCGCCTCTTTAAACATTTACAAGTAAGATTTTTTCCCTGATAACCGCATCGCGTGGATAAGTAGAGATTTCCGCCTGTAGATTCAGAAGCCTCCCCCGCTGCCAAAGTAGCCTCGGACGAGGTAACCGACGCCGAGCAGGGTGACGACGACGCGTTTGGAGGCATCATTCATGTTGTTGGCCGTGTTGCAAAAGTCCGAGTTGCACACACAATAACTCTTCGAATTGCATCCATTCATGTTCAACTCATCGCCAAAAGTTGCTGCAGCCTTTTTGAAGCCACATCCGCTGCCACGGGACTTGCTGGCGAAGCAAAACGGCTCTAGAAAAGCAAGCCGGAAGATATTTCAGAATTTGGACCAAGATGTATGAAAAGGCACCTATACATACCTTCCCAATGGAATGGGCATTCCGCCCTGTACTTGTCACGATTTTTAGCTTCGGAGTCGAAAGTTGTGCAGGGGACGGCTCCATCCTTCTTTGCACGATATGCATCATTTGCCTTATTTTCCTTAATCAGATCATCAATGTAATCCCTTCGTCGAGCTGATTCAGCAGATCCGTCTCCTCTGCAAATGTAGCAGCTTAATCCTGCCAATGCAAAGATGCAAATTGTGAGTGGTATGTTTTTTTATGAACCTTTTTTTATTTGTATGAACTCACCATCCGCCGAGGGGACGAAAACCGTCAGGACGGCGATGATGGTGACGACGGAGAGGAGGATTCCGACCAAGTTTTCATTGTTGACGTTTCTCTCCCAGTTTGAAACCCGGGGTCGTGGTCCGGCTCGGAAGATAAGGCGACCAACTCGAGCAGAGAAAAAGGTAAGGGAGCAAAGAAGACGAGACGAGACTGAGACAGAAAACACGACTGTCTGCCTTGAAAATTTGCGAGACACTGAAATTTTTTCAGACTTTTTCCTCACTTTTCAAACTGGAGGAGATCCGTTGGCAGGGAAATTTCAGGCAGAATTTCAGAAATTGTAAAAATTTCGGGGCAGATTTGATACAGCCCGAGCCAGCCGTTCTTCACTTTCAAATTATAACCCTGTGGGTGTAACCAGTTCAACGTTGGTAAATATTTCCGAAATTAATTTCCGACTTTGGTTTCGGATCTGATGTTGCAAGTTTGTGCCAAATTTCATATTTCTACTAAAATTTGCATACAATTTACCTCATAATTGGCCCACACCACTTAAATGTCCCCACAGGTCAACCACTCTACCGATTATGCCCATTTTCAGACGCATTCAAAGTCATGCAAAGATTGCATGAATTTCAGAACCATGTTGATCAAACTCTGCGATTCATCTAATGTGCGTCAGTTTCTTGTCTGAAATATGTAGACTGACAGACATATCAGTTCCATAAGCTCTAGTTCAGGGTAAAAATATCAATGCAACACAAACAATTTTCGCCATGTTTGCCAATTGGATTTGGTTAAAAACCCGAAAAAAATAAATGGCTTGAAAATACATCTATAAAATCAACGTCATCATAATTTATTATTCAATTTTATGAAATACTCAGTCCTGAATTTATGAGGAATCATCACAGTTCGGAAATAATCCGTTACAAAACAAAATCCGTAACAATGCAATTTCATATTTTTTTATAAACACTTATTTTAACAATTAATTAACACTAAACTTATTGAATTGTTAGATGTGCATTATGAAATTATTTTCATGCAAAAATTACAAAATCATAATAACTAACAGACCGTGATTATGCATAATAATCAACTTTATACTTAAATACGACGAATTTATTTATGAGGGGTAACTTTTTATAAAACCTGACCTGGATAATTATCTTTTAACAATAATAATTAACTTGGCAATTATATAACATTAACTACAATTAATTATGAAAGTTTCTTACTAATCCCTACGTATTTTTCGGTAATATTTTACATAATTTTACGAAAAACTAAACAAAACACAAATCTCACAATTAAATCTTAACCCAACTATCAAAATAATTAAGTGTTATTCTTAATTGGACCGGTATTCGTTTAATTCGAGTCATGGATAATTAATTATCTCAAGGGTAACTTTTCCTTCGCCGATTAACTAACTATGATCTATTTACATCTACATAACTAATTAATTATTTGGCCAAATTCTTAATAAAACTGGACAAGTCGTACTCTTCCTCGTACAATTTGTCCTCCCAGAGTTCCGGCATGTTCTCGAGAACGTTCTTATACGCGCCGACAATGCCGCCAACGTCTTCTCGCTTGTGGGCCCGTTCGTCCTCCTTTTTCGACGCGTCTTCCAGCACGAACAAGTCCAACAGCTGGGAAATGAAATCAAAATAAAATCTTAGTATTGAAATTATTGAAACTTTGACATTTTTACTCACCTGATCCGTCGCCATCGTCTCGATGGCCGAATTCTCCTGACTGATTACGGTGTTGGCCGTCATCAGTTTGAATTTTTGGAGGCTAAAGAGAGACAAAGATATTAGAATTTGTTGGGACGAAATGGTTTCCGGTGAAAAGGTCAAGGGTCACACATATTGCAAAGTTATTAACAGTATTTTATCTTAAATTCGCATCACTAAATTTCCAATACACTTGACCTTCTAGCTGGGAAATTATTGAGTTCCGAGATTAAAGATTAAAAATTCCAGAATCAGAGATTTAAGATTAAAGTTAAAATTATCCTTCAGCTACTGAATTCAATTACTGAAGATTGATTAATCTTCTTTGAAGGCATAGATTAATTAATCCGGATAAGTTTGAGATTGAGATTAATCTGATTTATGCAATATTTTATGTCAAATTCGCCTTGCACTATTTGACAATTTCTTGAATTTTTCACAATTTCTGATACACTTGACCCGACTTGACCTACTAACAATTAATTTAGCAAATTATTTATGCCCCCACCCCATAATTTTCTCTTCCAACGTCCCTCTCGTGATAAGTCTGTAAACGTTGACGACTTTCTTCTGCCCGATGCGATGGGCACGATCCATAGCTTGCAAGTCTCTCATTGGATTCCAATCATGCTCCACGAATATGACCTGAAATTAATGAAGATGAATTTTTGAAAATCTGGAATAATTTTATTTTTCATATTTCTGGGTCATACAGTGTCCGCGCCAGTCAAGTTGAGCCCAAGCCCGCCGACTTGTGTCGTTAGGAGGAGGACGTCGATGGAGGGATCGTTGTTAAACCGAGTGACGAGAGAGTGCCGCTGTCCTGCCGGAACTGACCCGTCCAAACGGAGGTATGTCACGGATGGCATGTGGATTCTAGATTTAAAAGAGAATCAAATTTTCAATTTTGAAAAAACGACATAATTTTGATACGAAACGCTAGAACAAACTAGTCCAAAAATGTGAGCTGTTTGATAATTTTGTGTATGAAATTTGCCTCAAATTTTGAAAAATGGTATTATTAACCAAACAGATCTAGCATAAAATTTGCAAAACTTGTTTGCGATTAGCTAAGCAGAACTTGAATACAATTTTGCATATCATTTTTATATAAATATTTAGTTAATATCGAATTTTAATGCACATTGCAAACAATTTTGAATTTTTAAAAAATAACCAAAAACGTGTCAAACTCAACTTCAACTCTTTTGCTACTAACGACACAAATCGCTTAAAATTTTCTAAAATTCAATCCATTTTCGATCGACTCACTTGAACAAATCGTGCTCCAAAATGTCCAACATGACTTTTAACTGGCAGAATATTAAAGCTCTATGTTGTCCTACGACGGGCAAATTGTCCACGGAATTGTTCGAACCACCATCCGGATTTACCACCCCGATCCCACAGTCGAGCAAGAGTTGTCTGAAAAATGGGTAAAATCATTTTAGTTCAAAGTTATAAACTTGTAAATTTATTAAGCAGTTAGCAAAACTACGTGTTAAAACTTGTATCGGGTTTCAAAAATAAAAATGTCCGGTTCAAAATTTCCATCTTGAAACCGCTCTGAACATTTTTCGTATTGTCTCCGCAAATCTTGACCCAGTTCAAGAGACATTAAAAATTACGGAAATTTTAAAAGCGTGTAGATTTGCTAACTGCCTATTGTATTGATTGATTACTTCAGAGCTGGTAGTTTGGCGCTGTGTTGAATATCGTTCAGCGTCGTTTTACTAGCGGCGAGGGAACTCATCACGGAAGAAAATTTAGGATGCTGCAGCGTCAAAACGAGCTTAGGATGGTTGCAAACTTTACGCAGGTATTGTAGAGCCTGCAAAAAGTAAGACACAATTTGAAAAATAATTGCATAACTCTTCAAATTCACACAATTTGTGAAATTCAAAATTTGAGTAATTGCAAATTGAGTAGTAGTTAGACTCAGTTTTTTTATAAATCTAAACGATTTTGAAGACTTATAAACCTTCAAATAAAAAAAATACAATTTTAAAATCAAAAAGTGATACTGGTTTTTAAATCCTTCAAATCAAAATTTGAGTAATTGCAAATTGAGTAGTAGTTAGACTCAGTTTTTTTATAAATCTAAACGATTTTGAAGACTTATAAACCTTCAAATAAAAAAAATACAATTTTAAAATCAAAAAGTGATACTGGTTTTTAAATCCTTCAAATCAAAATTTGAGTAATTGCAAATTGAGTAGTAGTTAGACTCAGTTTTTTTATAAATCTAAACGATTTTGAAGACTTATAAACCTTCAAATAAAAAAAATACAATTTTAAAATCAAAAAGTGATACTGGTTTTTAAATCCTTCAAATTAGATCTAAAATTTTACAAATTCAACATTTTCAATCTAATTTTCACAAATTAAATCAGAAACTTTTAAATATTTCCTAGAAATTTCAATTCTATTGTACTCCCAACAATTTGTGACAATCCTTCTCACTTGAAAAATATGCGAATGTTTGGACGGGTCGTTTTCTTGAAACGTATCCCTCAAACTCTGGTGGGCCCTTGTTCTCGCAAAGTCCTCATACAATTGCTCCTGGATCGGGCTCAGTTCGCAGTAATAATCCTGCGTGATCTTGGGAGGTAAATCTTTGAGAACGTCCTCCTTCAAGCGGCGGAGGAGGAAAGGGAGCGCTTGTCGATGTAGCGCCTCCATCGCGAGGGCACCTGCTTCCTGATCTTTTGGAGAACTTTTGGCATCCCGCGCGACCAGGATTGGTCTCCCGAAACGGGAGCTGAACTGTTTCTCCGTTCCGAGGAAGCCGGGCATCAGAAAGTCGAAGAGGGACCAGAGTTCGAGGACGTTGTTTTGGATGGGTGTGCCCGAGAGGATGAGGCGGTGACGGGAAGGGAGCTGTTTAATGGCGCGGGAAATCTTGGTCTTTCCATTTTTTATGATGTGACCCTCGTCCAGGATGCAGTAGTTCCAGTGGATCGAGGAGAAAAAGTCGATATCGTTCCTACAAGAGGAACAATTAGTTTAATTTAGATTTACAAGGAAATGTAGGAATGAAAATTACGATGTAGTTTTACGAAATTTTTAAAATTATTTCTTCATGAAATTTGTGACGGTTTTGTGAATACGAATTTGAAAACTGTTTGAAATGTAAAAAAATCAAATTTGAATTTACAAATTTGGAAATTTGGAACTTTCGAAAACCAAATTTGAATTTATAAATTTAGAAAATGATTTGAACCGTCGAGAACCATATTGAATTTCCGAATTTTATAGTCTTTCTTGATCTACAATTTACTTTCAAATTTTGATAGCTCATATTTTAAATTTTGACCAATTTTGAAACTATACACTTTCTTTTCTCACCTCACAATGTCGTACGACGCCACGACCAAGTTGTGGGTTTTGACTTTTGGTTTTAATTTGTTCCTCTCGGTGGGTGGGCCGTGGTAGTGGAGCGGGTTCAGGTACTCCGACCCAATAAATTTATCAACCTCGTAAACCCAGTGGCCTGTCAGAGTGGGTGGGCAAATCACGATGGAGGGAGGTGGCACGTTTTGGGGGCAGGGGTCCGCCTGAAAACAGGAGAAAACTACTTGGTCATTTTTTCCATGAGTAGAATTTCATACACTGTTAATACTGTTAAAAATCTGGTAAAGTCAAATATATACTCCGTACTGGTAATAACTTCATACCGGATTGGTAGTAGTTTGTATCTCACAATGGAACTCTCAAATTTTGAGCAAAATAGTGCCAACCGATCACAAATTTAATTAATATGAAATTTGAAAAAGATACGATCTCCCAATGGTCAAGTTTTGCGAGATATTTGCATCAAAAGAGGAGAACACGGGCTCTAAAAAGTCGACAAATTTTACACTTTCCAAATTTACTGCCCATTTTCTCCTCTTCGGATGCAAATATGAAACGTGAGATTGGGTCTTTTGCAAATTTCATCCGAATTAAATTTACGATCGATTTACACTAGTTTGACCAAAGCACATGTTGGGAGACCTCCATTGTGAGTGGTAAATTTCTCATTACTAAACGGTAATGCCCGTTATTACCGTGCCGGTATAGTCATACCCCGATCAGCACTGATTTAACACAAGTTTTCTACGAGTGTATAAAACAACGCGTCACCTCATATCGCTCCTCCCAGTATTTGTGATCACTCCCAAGGATGCAAATACTTTGCAGGGTTTTTCCCAAACCCATGTCGTCACATAGGATTCCGTGGAGTTTAAACTTATTCAGGAATCCGAGCCAGTTCACGCCGGCCTGTTGATAAGGGCGAAGTTCGGCATTGATGGGAACGGTGATCTCATACTTGGGGATTTTTGCAGGGTTGAGGAGCTGTTCGAGAAAGGCGCGCTGTTCACCCTTCTGCAGGGTGAGGTCGGCCGGCAGGTTGGGCGGATCGGGGACGCTTCCCTCCAACGGCATCAAGCGGACCAGCGTGGCAAACGTGAGCGAGGCCAACATCCGGACGGATTCTTGCTGATCAGACATTCGACCTGTGGGTAAAATATAGGGATTTTTATTGGGGACGAATTTTTAGAGTTAATAAGTTATCAAGAAATGTTAAATTGATTGCTTCAAGGTTTCGAAATTGACAAAATTTTGGATTTCGACACCAAATTATTCCTGGGTTCAATTTTTGCTTTATTTCTGGAAAACGGGAGGAAGAAAATCCCGAAAAATTCCCACCGCCCGTATAAGACGGATCCTAAAAACGCTCAAAATTCCTGGAAACTAGCAAAATTTCAGCCACAAATCGAACCTGCGAAATTATTGAAAAATTGTAGTTCCAAATTTTATTTGGTGAATTTTTTGGAAGTGGTGTATCGATTTGCAGTTATTTTTTTTAGCTCGGGGTAAAATTGTGATCAAATTATACACAAATTTACTACCCACCTAGCACAGGGACGACGAGAAGTACGATGTACGGAAGCAAGTTCAGCCCCAACTTGTCAACGATGCACCAGACCGCTTCCAACGCGCCTTGTCGCGCTAAATCGTTCCCACTCGTTTCCAACTGAGGCAACACGTCACGAGCCAAGACCGGCATCACTTTGTCCGACATGAGAGACGCCCACTCTGCCAAGGTGCGTGACGCCATGTGGCGAATCGCCCGGTCCGGGTGGCTCAAGAGGGAACAGAGTTTATCAATTTGGGCTACGAGCTGGATAGAATATTTTTTTTTCAATTGAAATTATCCGTTTCTCATAACATTTTTAATTTTTATTTAACTCACCGTCGGATACAACTTTTTATGAAATGAGCTCGAAATTATTTCCAGCACGAGAAGCGCATTAATCACATTTTGTCCAGATTCCGTTGGGTTTTTTGACTCTGACAAATCCGATTCGGATTCCAACACGCCGAAAGTGAGTTCCCACAAACGGGGTATTTTTGTGGGTAGGTCGGCTCCAAAGTAAGCCACGATTGAGGTCAGGGCAAAGGTCGCGCCACGTTTTTGAATTCGACAGCTTTTATTAGACTCGAGTTCGGCAAGTTCTTCCTGAAAATTGAGAAATAATAAACACTAATAAAGTTGAGTTTTCGGAAAATGAGGAAATTTTTGGGCACAATTGGATGCGTTTTTCATAATACATTTTTTAAATTGTGAAATTTTACAAAGAATTTCTATAAAATTCAGAAATGTTTAGAAAACTAGCCTAAAAATTTACGAAAAATTGCTGAAACTTTTAAGAATTGAAAATCACTCCTTGGAAAATATGCAACAAACATTAATCAGGTTCAATTTTCGGAAAACGAGGAATTTTTGTTTAAAATTCAACACGATTTTCATAATACGTTTTGTTATTGTAAAATTTTGCAAAGTTTTTCAACAAAATTCTGAATTGTGTCCGAAAATGTGACGAAACTTCCCCCAAATTTTTAAAATCCCACCTGTTTCGTCAACTTTTTTCCAATTTCTGGCAACGTGAGTGAACTGAGGGACAAGATTCCACCCCCCACCTCGTCCCCAGCACGACCACCTGAACTCTCATCCTTACAGCGTGACGAGCACTCGAGGCCGGTTTCGCCATTATCTGAGCAGAGGTAGGTGACCAGGTTGGCAATGATTTTGGGGTTGGGGGAAGGTTCGCGGGCAAGCGCGAGGTCCATGAGGATGCAGAGATGGTCAGCCGCACTCTTTTGAAACAGAATGTTTTCTTCGCGACGAATCGACTCCATCAACGGCTTCACGACAGGGTTCAACTTTTCAGGAAGGCGGGACGGACCTAGCGTTACGACAGCGGAAGAGACGGCGGCAAGCGTCCTGTAGTTTGAGGGAAGAGCGGATTAGTGAAAATTTAATATAAAATAACAGTTCTTCGTTGGGTGAAAATGGAGGTAAATTCTTCAAAATTTTATAAAATTATATAAAAAAAATAACGTAAAGAAATCTGCTGATCAAATCATCATGTCCAAAAATCAAATTAGCTGAATTCGCCGAATTTTTGGCATAACAATTGTCAAATCGAATTGAAATTTGCAAATTGTCAAAACCGGGTAAACTTCTTCAAAAACACAGGGACCAAATAAATTTCTAAAAATTGTATAAAAACTAGCAGTTCGGGTAATAGATCGGGTGATAGAACCTCGTCAAATTGTCAAAACAGCGTAAAATTCCTATAAAACACAGAGACCAAATAATTTTCTCACATAATCGTCAACGCGGTAAACTCTGTTGTTGTCGCGTTCCACAAATTCCAAATCGTTTTTCTCCTCTCGAGCAGAGTGTCGGCAATCTTTGGTTTTTTCAAGTTCTTCTGAATCAATTCCATCATCCCGCTTCCGCCCAACTAATCAATCATAAATTTACCAAACACAAATTAATTCAATTCATATGAAATGAACCCTGCGACTTAAAAACGAGGCACATCTATGCCAAATGCTTATTCACCGTCTCAATCTGCGCCAGGGAGAAGAGAGGCGGCGAACCCGTCACGGCCTGGATGTCTGGAGGAAGCGGAACTTTGTAGTGTTTCAATGTGGCGACAAAGTCACGACACTCGCTCTGCAGTTTTGTCAGCCCGCCGGCCACCTCGTCAAAGTAGACGTTCTCCGAGAGGCATTCCGTCAAACGGGCGGATAACCCGGGATGGCTTTTTCGTTTATTCGTCGCAACGGAGTTGGCAGTGTTCTAGAAATTGAAAAGGAAATTTATCAAAATAAAATAGTTCAAAATTTTAGATTTTTTTTCTAAAAAAGAACCTTTAAACTAGAATTATTTGTCCCGATTGAGCAATTGTTCACAGATCCGTTTGTACTACTGGGATGAGTGGAATTTGAAGTGATGGCGTGTCCATTATCGTGACCAGATCCGTGCGGACTAGATTCCGGCCAAGCGGATATGACGAAAGAGGTCGTGGTGCGTTGCAGGGCGGAACGCGAGTTTAAATGAACCATTAAAACCCGGACGAACAGCTCGATCGGTTCTTCGCTCGAATGGCTAAGGAACAAATTTAAAAATGAAATTATTAAAAATTTCAGAAATTGAATATCTCAAGCTGTACTAAACTTTCAAAATATTCTAATTAAAATAGAACTCTAATTTTAAAACTTTTTTTGAAATTAGATTTCATAATATTTTGAGCCGAGTTTGGCAAAATTGTATTTCCAACCTTACTGACATTTCGTGATACCTTGCAAACTTTGTAAAATACAACTTGGAAAATTTTTTGAAAATTTTAGTAGCTAATTAATAATTAACGAAATTTTGTACCCATTTGGAATGGGTTGGACGATATACGAAGCTAATTCGCCCAACATTTTCGTAAGTCGTAATCTCGCCGCTGCAACGGTGGTGGGATCTCCGTCGGCAGAACCCCCCATGAAAACCTTCTCCGTGATGGGGGTGGAAATTTCCTCCTCTGGTGGCGCATTCACGTGGTCCTTATTGTTCGTCGATTTCCGTCTCGCACCCTGACAAAAAACCAAAATAAGGTTGAATGAAATACTTGGATCGTGACGAAAAACCAAATTCGAGGCCGTGGCCAAAACAATTTGAAGAACTATTTCCAATCATATTTGACCAAATTTGGACAACTTTAATCAAAAAATTCTCAAAAGTAGCTAAAAATTAGCACATTTTGGCCTACAGCGCAAATTTTAAGCTTTGATACATCAAAATCACGTTATATAGCGAAAATTTCGCTATTTTGTACTTTTCTACATTAACTGTACTAATTAGAAACGCTTTGTAAAAACTGACATAAATTAGACTGACAATCATTTAAATAAACAAGTTCAACAACTCATATTTAAATAAAAAAATACCCAAACTTTTAAAAAAAATGAAACCAAATTTTGTCACACTTTTCCCAAATTCGCAAAAAAATCTGGTACTGACCTGTCCCTGTGAAGCGGAAAGGAGGCAGAACGGGTCGATGGGAAACCTAGCTGGTTGCATGGCCAGGGCGAGCCAAGTGCCAAAATAGGGACACGCCGACAACAACAGATTCTCTAGTTTGCTCGACTTCAGTAGATCCGACCAGACTTGTGGGATGAGGTTCTGAACATCCTGCACGTGTTCTACGAGGGCACGTTGGTACGTGTGGCGCAAGGTTTCCTTTAAAGGCCCAACGCTCATCGGGGCGACGGAAGGGTCAAGTTCTGTCAACTTTTGGAGAGTGAGCAGGGCAGATTTCCGCACGGAGGAGGACGTGTGGTGAAGGAATGGCCAGAGACGCGGAATCAGGATGTCAAGCTCTCTGTGAGATTAATCATGTAATTAATTAGTCCGTGTTTTTATATTCATTACTTGGGATCGATTTTAGCTCTATTTCTGGGAAACGGTGGAAAGGAAAACACCGGAAATTTATACAGCGAAAACGGACCCTAACAATGCCCGAAAATTCCCAAAATCTTTCAAAATGTCAGAAATTTATTCGAAATTTTAATAAAAATGCCCGAAAATTTCCAGAAACCTTCAATATTTCCGACAAAGGTTTGAAAATTTCCTTAAAAATGTTTCCTTAAAGAATTTCTCTAAATGTTCGAAAAATATTCAAAACTTTCTTAAAAATGCTCTAAAACCTCAAACTTTCAAAAGTTCAAAAATTTTCCCCCGCTTTCCCGGCAAACACCACAAATCCAACCCTGGATTAATTCCGTATTATCAGACTTTCACCTCAGCGTGCTCCGAGCCTTCGGGAATGTGAGGAGTGTGGCGAGCAGGCCCATAATCGAGTTACACGCGGAGGAGAGGTCATCCAAGTCGGCGAGCGAGTCCCAAAGCACGCTAACCACGGCGGGCGTCTCGAGCGGAAGCGTCTCCACGAGCAGGTCCGACACAGGAATTAACGACGACGCCGCGACGGCAGACACGTCGTCAACCTTGTCCGAAAGGCAGGCGAATATGGCGGGAAAAGCGAGCGGGAGCAGGGTTGAGATCAGGTCCCGCCGCACAGCGAAGATATACTTGAGTCCGAGGAGAGCCCCGTGTCTGACCTCCCAGGAGGACTGGTACAGGAGCTTGACCAGGATGTGGATCACGCCCACGACACCATCCTCACCCATCAACCCCACCACGGCGCCGAGGCATTGGGAACACGTTTCTCGAACGGGAGCGACGACTTGGTCACTTACAAAGTCACCGAAACGATCTAACGCCAAGACGGAGACGAGACGCAGGGCGAGATCCTCAATCCAAGTCGTGTGAGCTAGGTCAGACTATAATTCGAGAATAGAAAAATTATTAGTTTTTGTATCAGGGGTTTCACAAACTTGGAATTTTTCGAGGGAAGGCATTTTGCACGACTTTTATAGGAAATTTTGAAAAAATATTGGCTAAATTCGTAATCTAAATTTTAACCACACTCCTGTTTTAAAAAAACTTAAAATTCCAAGATCGTTTCGAAAATTTATTTCTTCATAATCATTGTTCCCACCTCGCCCTTACTCATCCAAGGCTCTCTCCCACCTCCATTCCCGTGGAGTTTGACAACTTCCCGTAACGCGGTGGCAGCGCCATGTCGAACCTCCCAACTCGGACTGTAATCATTTTCAAAATAAATATATGCACATTTTTTAGAATCCGATCGTTCATCCCACCATTTTTTACGTAAACATTTTTATTGATTTATTGTAAATAATAACAAAACAGTCATATCTAACCTGAACATATCGTTGATAAGGATGTCAACTGTAAACATAGAAAATTTTGCAACTATACACAAGCATTCTTCATAAAATTGCGTAGGTTCGATTGGTGGTGCAAACGTTCAAACTCGTTTGACGGGAAAGCGGGGGCGAAGACATTTTTTTTAGTGACCACTTTTTTACGGGCTATGGGAATTTTCCGGGATTTTCTTCCCACCGTTTTCCGAAAAAAATCGAACCTACGTAAAATTGTATGCATTCGTAAATGAGCCCTCACCCCACGCCGAGAGTGGCCACTGGCCTTCTCCCACGGAATAAATTGACCACGCTTCCGCACTAAAGTCCAGCATGGAGTCTTCCCTCTTCAACCGTTTATTGCTCCCTTCAGCACCACCAACGTATTGCGAGGACGAGGATGTTCCAGACTGTTGCGAATCGTCCATTGACGACTGTGCCGCGGCGGATTCGCGCATCTTCTGTTTCCTGGCGCGTCTCTTAGCGAGATTAAGTTCGCGCGAGGATAGGCTCAGTTGCTCTTCGAGATTTGGATCGAACAGGGGAAGGGAAACGGAGGATGGGTTTTCTTTAGTGGTGGACGTGGATGGCTGGGAGGTTTCGAGCGGTTCATCCTGTTCGGAAATGAGGTCTTCGTTAGAGACGATGTCGGATGTGTCGATTCCCATCTTTTCCGCTACGTCGAGTCCCAGCCTGAAAGTAGTTGAGAGTTAGAATTTTGGGAGAATGAGTGGTTTAGGGATTAAGTTTTACATTAAATGTTCGAATTTTAGCGTAAAAAACTTGGAAAATAGTTGAGGTTGAAATAAGTGTTTTCAGATTAATCTTCCCATAAACTGTTCGAAATTTAGTCGTAAAAACTTCGAAATACAGCTAGAAATCATTCTTAATTTTAAAATGTATTTCTTAAATGGATGTAAAATCCAAAATTGACAAAATTTTGTGGAAACTTTGAACTTTTAAATTATAATTTAGCGTCATGATGCCGCAAAATACAACAAGAAATCATTCCTACATATACAAAATATATTTCTTGAATACATAAAAAATTCGAAATTTACCAATTTTTTAGCAATTTTTAAAATAATTTTTCACCTCTTATTAATAGCAGCCCTCTGACTAGCCGGATCTTGACTGTTGCTCTGATCCCTTCTCGCTCCTGACTGAGAAGAACTAGAGTTACCACCACCACTGTTTTCGAACACCTTGGTGTCTGACGCCATCAGGAAATTTGACGCTGTCGAGGTGAGCAAATCCAGATCGAAACTTTGAAACGATAAACGCTGTTTGTTTCCGCTCGTTGGTACTGAACTCGTTGTTGTGGGGGTCAAATTCTTCCCTTTATCGACTGAATCTTGTCCTTCTTCGTCTGGGTCGATGCTAATGACCAGGTTGGAATCGTCATCGTCAATTTGTTCCTCTTTAACCTGAAGAAAGAGTGAAGAAATTTACAAATTTAGTTGTTTTTTATGTAAAAGGAATCGAATTCTGCCTCAATTTTTGAAATAATTATCACAAAATTTTTTGAATTGAAAACTATTTGAGTTTCAAGCTTCAAACAGGCTCGATTGTTATTTTACTTTTTTTTCACTAACTATAACGCCATTTTTTGATATTAAAATAATTTTAACTATGAATATTGTCGTACAGGTTTGATTTATGTTACTGGAAAATTTGTGACATTATATTATTCATAATATAATTATCACACAATTCATTCAATTCAAAATTAATGACCGAAATTTTGAATTTCAAGCTTCAAATGTTCCGATTTTGCCATTATTAGTGAATTTTTTACAAGGAATTGAAATTTTCGAACTAAATTATTACAAAATTCGGTGATTAAAAATCAATAAGTGAAATTTTGAACTTCAAGGTTCAATGGGCTCGATTTCGGCATAAATTATGTAAGAAATAGGTTCAAATTATCAAGCAATTGTCATAAACTTCTTTATCACCTCCTGTTTCAATTGCTGCGCCGGAAGTGGATTCCAGGCCGGAACTTTCGACAAAATCGCCTCCACGGCCAGCCCCGCCGCCACCCTCGTCTCCCAGGACGTCGACCGCAAACATTTATGAACTCTGGAGAGGATGAAGGGCAGCTCGTGCGGGTGGAGGCGCTGAACTTCGCCCAACTGTGTCGCCGCGGCTTTCCGCGTCCCCGGCGTCGACCCGGACTCGAGCAGGACGAAGAGTCGATCCAGCCTGAAAATAACAATTAAATATTTTATTGATGACTTAATTGGGAGGATTTTTAACTTAAATTGAGCCACAAACCGAGTCATTTTTCGTAGTTTATTGAACTGTCCGTGTCAAGGATGACTAATAATGAGATGATCTCCTTGGGGGACGATTTGACCGTGGCGAACTTATCCAATTAGTCGCAGAACGGAGCCTCCCATCCATCCGAGTGATTATCTTGTCGCGGTCATGTCAATTAGTTAATTAACTGCTCTTGATGATGGCAAAAGTTACAAAGTTTCCTAAAAATTTCCTCCCTGCACACTTTCTTTCGTTACAGATTAACTAACTAATTGGACTATTAATGTAATTACTGCTTTATAATTCGTTATATTCCTCCATCCAGTGGGTAAACAATCTAATTAATTAAATTACTAATTAAGTTATTTAATTTACTTTCTTTCAAGTCAAAAGTTTGAAAAGTTTGAAACTAGCTAAACAGACTTCAATTGAATTAAAATGGACCAGATTTTTTTCGTAAAAATGATAAATAATGCTACAATTATCTTTTTTATTATGCTATATTTGTTTTACTGAGAGAAGAAGAACTTTCTTATTTTTAAGTCGATTAATTAATGTTAACTCGAGTGGAGAAGAAGTTGTTAAAAAAAGCAGTGTGTACCTGTGGACGGGCCGATTGGTCGAGTTTTACTCCCGCTCAGCCAGTCGAGACACCCTTTTCCCCAAACAATATTTCCGAACAAAATAAATTATGAAAATGAAATCATTTTCATGAAAAAAATTTCAAAATTTCGAAATTCATTAATACACAATTTTCCAACTTATAAAAGTACTAGAGGGCCATTTCGTCGCATCTGTAAATTATTTTTGTTCTCTGATTTTTTTAATTTCTTTGTTTGGCGTTGAAATCATGAAATTTAATTTTAATGTAGATTTTTATTTTACTTTATGAATGAAAGTGATTCGTATTTCGTATTTTGGAAATAAAATTATTTATACCTTTTGTAGAACGAAATTTACCACATTTACCATTTTTAGAGAACTCTGTGATTTTTGATGATTATTAAAAGAATAATTCAATAAAAATTTTGAAAGAATTTTACAAACATTGTTGCTCATTATTTTAAGCTAATTCAGTATTAAAATTAACAATTTACTCGTAAAATCTAATATATTACATTTACAGACTCCAATTAGAGACTAAATGCTAATCTCAATTGTCATCATAATTAACCTGGACTTTAACAATTAACTGTACAGTTAATTGTTTTATGTTACATAACATAAAACTTTCCATGTAAAAACTTGTCTCAAATTTAACAAAAATGCTTAAAAAATCTAAAAACGTATCCGTTATTTAACTATACATTATATACATATATACATAAGTTATTTAACCCTATTCCCTTTTCCTACTCATTCTAATCAACGGTTTTTAATAATTAATTCCAGCATGAAATTTTTCATAATGTATCTCAAATTCTTACATGCAAGGTTTCATGTAAAAACTTATTCCAAAATTTTCTTAAAATGCTTAAAAAAATCTGGAAACATATCATCCACCACACGTTATACTAACCTTTTTCCTACTCAATTCTATGTAACGACCACCACCACCACCGTCTCCGGTAACAAACCAAGACAATTTCTCTGTATGCATTAGACAAACAATCCCCTTAACCATGGCATGGAACACAATGCTAAAAAACACATTGCCTTTCCATGCAATACAACATAATTCCCAATCCACCTGGTAAAATAAATGCATACATACCATGTAACCGTATAACTTGGCATCATCGCCATGCATCACGGCTAACAGAATTTGGTTGTATGTATTTTATGTTGTGTAAACTTTCCATGTTTTGTAAACGAGAAAAGTTCTTGGTAAATAAAAAGTGCGGCTGGCTGGATACCTGTTTTCAGGTGTGTCACATACTAAATACGACGATCGTTAGTTTCAATTTTTAATTTTTTTTTCTAAACAACTTGACAGTTGACACAAAATCCTAGCTAGATGTGAACGTATCTGCATACTAAATTTATTTGTTGAACTATCCTAATAACAAAAGTGGCGTTAAAGTTGGTGGAAAAAAGTAAAATTCCTTGACATTGTCAACAATTGAACAAAATTTAATATTACCAAATTTGAAAGTTGAAATATCCACAAATTTTCAAAATTTGGGTTTCCTCTGGCAAAATCTGTGCGACAAAATTCGTTATTAAAATTATTTAAATAATCGAAAGTGGCGTTAAAGTTGGTCGGAAAACATAAACAATTTTTTGACATTTTGGAAAAAAGGGGAAACACCAAATTTTCTGGAAACAATTAAAAAATTTGACATCATAATTTCCAAAATTTGCCACAATGGTTATTCTAAGTTCGTTTTGGACACCGTGTTTTTATTACAATGATATTTACAAGTCCGTCAAGCCGATCGCGTTTTATACAGCGGTGAGTTTTTGGCATGAATTAATGATTTTTTTAAAAATTGTGATGATAATTACCCAGCGATAATTGCATAATTAATTTTTTTAGATGGCTTCCGTGATTTCGATCGTTTACTCGATTTACGTCATGTCCGGGGGAGAAAGTTCGAGTCCTTACATGCCATATTTTGAGACGGATAGATCTCTTTGTAAGTCTGAATTTTAATAAATTTTCAGAAGTGTAAACTGGTTAAATAAATTTGCAAATAATTTCGCAAAAATGTTTCCACAAAATACTAACTTTAAATACTTTAGCAGAGAATTGTTACCAATTTTTAGCAAAATAATATCAAGACTAAATTCCAAAGTTCTAAACTAAAGTTCTTTCATGGAGGTGAATTATTCTGAAACTTATGAACCTAATTCGTAATTTTGCAAAATTATATAAATAGGACACATTTATATAAAATTTGCAAATATGTTTGACTTCCACGTCGTGATAAATTTAAACCAAAATGCATATATGTAAATAATAAATAAGATATCTATTTTAGATGGAATTGTTGATTAAACAGTTTGCGAAAATTTTCACACATTTTTTTTCCAATTTCCACGTTAAAGAAACTTATCATATTTTCACACTTACTGATAAAAATATGTAAATATCTCACCATAAAATATTAAATTTAAATGCTTTATCAGGGAATTGTTGATAATTTTTTATCAAAACAATATTGAGACTGCTTTCGTCCACAAAGCTGAATAATTACAAACCTAGTGGGTAAATTTTGCAAAATTATATACCTAGTGCACAATTACATAGAGTTTGCAAAATATGGTAAACTTCCACGCCGTGTTACATTTATGTTGAAAAACAAATATTGAAAAACACTAAATAGATGCTCGGATAAGAATAAAGGAATTGGCTTGTGGATTTGTTGAGTAAATGCTTTGCAAAATTCGTACTAAATTTTTTTTTGAAGTTGTCCCAGTTTTTTTGTAATAATTTTCAAAAAACTCGTTATAATTCCATCTTTTTTAATAAATCCAAATCCAATTTCAAAATTCATTTGACAAAACACATTCTAAAACTATGCTATCTTACTTACTTAATCCGAAAATGAGTGAAGCTCATGCAGGTTCTGATCACTGTTAATTGTTAAAATCTGGTAGAGTCGCATCTGGTATTGACTTGGTAATAACTTCTTACCGGATTGGTGGTAGTTTTTGTTTCTAAGTGGTAAATTTTTTATTACTGTAATTTTACTATACGGTAATGCCTGGTATTACCGTGCCGGCGTTATTTACTCTAAGAAATCCAGTATCAAACTAATACCAAGCGGTATTCATAATTGACTCTGGTATCGATAATTACTAAATGTGTAGTAATAGCTCGGTAATAAAACTTTGCCATATTGGTAGCAAATTTTAACGGAACTGTATAACTTTAATACCAAGCGGTAACAACTTTAATACCGAGAAATCAATACCTGTGTGCCTATACCAGATTTCTAACCATGTAGAGTCACATAAATACATAATAAATATGTACTCCGGTCGGTAACGATTTAATACCAGTTTTCTAAATATTACAATTAGCCAAATTCTAGCCATCCAAATCTCTACCAAAGCGGTATCGATAAGTAATACCTTGTAGTAATACTTCAGAATTAAAGTTTTATCATATCGATAGCAAATTTTTACGGGCGGGTATAATTTTAATTCCAACCGGTAGCAACTTTAATACTTCGGTTGGTAATGATTTATTACCAATTTCAGCGACCCAAATCTACGGTGGATTTGCCATCTTGTTCTTTCTCTACTTCATCGGTGCGTCCTGGTTGATGATTCACGCGGTGCGAGTGGAAATCCGGGGTTGGATTTTGCCTTGGATCATCGCCATGTTTCTCGTCATCGTCCTCCAACTCTACTTCGGATTCCACTGGCTTTTCGACTACTACATTTACGTAAGTCCGACCGAAATTCATGTCCCGCTCAACTTTGTAAATTAGCAAACTTCACTTAAAAAAAACTTGTACAACAAATCACCTTAAAAAAAGTTTTCACAAATTATGAAGGAAAATCATGCTCAAAATTTACTAACTTCTATTTTGCAAAATGAACGTAATAGTTTAATGAAAACTGAAAAAAAATATTTAAAATTTGTCACGTCAAAGCGCCAATTTGAGGTTTTTGAGGTTCACATGTTTATCTTTATTAGTTGGTAAACAGATATGAATTGGGGAAATCTACTCTAATAAAGTGTTAGTATGATCCCTGGGTCCCTGGGTCCGTCTTCGCAATGCAAATTGCCCCATACAGTAGACAAAGAAGGAAGCGGAGCAACCACTGCATGCATGCACTGCACTGCATGAATAAATGAATACATGAACATGTACACCCCACATACATACACCACTCATCAATAGTGGTTATCATGATAAGTGATCGTGATAAACACTATTAATTAATTATTTTAGTTTGAGAAACTCTACCCACAGCGAGTGGCATGTCAATTCGAATGTATTTTTGACGCTGAATCCAACGCCGTCAATGGTTTTGACCTGCGAGGCCCCCGTGACCTCGCCGTGACCGTGGTGTCCAAATCTGGCTTATTCGTGATGTCGCATATCAATTCGAATGTATTTTTGACGCTGAATCCGAATCCGTCAATAGCTTGGCGTTAATTGTAGAAGTTAACGGGGTTTATGGAACTTAACGGGAGCGTGAAGCGTGGGAATTTAAATAGTTAGCTATGCAGTTACTCCCACGCGACGGGAATTTAAGTAATTAGCTATTCAACTACTCCCACAGGGGGGAATCAAATTTTACTGTGACCAGGTTAATTAAAATGCAGTATGACTTGGGCAAACCCTCAGTCTGATGTATGTATGTAGTATGACAAAGTCTCCACTGGGAATTATTTAAAATATAGTATGACGGATTTTTCGCTTTGGGCACACCCCCCACTGGAACTCTAGAACCCGGCCTTGGCCGGGCTATACGCTAGTAATTTAATAAGGGCGAATTCACGTAGATATTTGTAAACTGCAAAGTTTAATAAAAAAAATATTTAAAACTTGTCACATTAAAAATGTCAGTTCGAATATTTTTGCTTGCAAGCTGTGCAAATTTTACGAAATTAGGTAACTAAACTTTTACTAAGGTCAGCGATCAACCAATTTTTCGATTCTTGGATCTTCGACTGTCACATTTATGCAAGTCCGACAAAAAATTACGTCCCGTCTCTCTTCGTAAATTAGCAAACATAATTTTGTAAAAAAAACTTGTATAACAAATCATCTTTAAAAAAAGTTTACAAAAATTACGGAGGAAAATCACGTCTAAAATTTGTTAGATCATTATTTTTCAAAATAAATGATGAATTATTACTTGTCACTTTAAAAAGCCAGTTTGAATTTATTGCTTGATTACAAATATTGTCGATTGGATCAATAAACAGATCTGCGATGATAAACCAACAATTTAGTAAGAACGTCAAATTTAAAATTCATGTCGCGCCCATCTTTGAAAATTAACAAATTTTGCGTAAAAAATTTGTATCAATCTAGGTATAAAAAAAGTTTGCAAAAATTACGCAGGAAAATCAGCCTTAAAATTTAGTCTTTGAGGCAATTCACCCAGGCCTTTTGGTAACATTGTAAAATCCGTAAATTCTGTAAACCTTACGAACGTCGACAAATATTTCGAACGAAAAGCAACTTCCAAATTTTGATATACTTGCCCAGATCAAAGGGGTCTCTTTATTTTTGCAAAAGTTTATAATGATTCACGTGAAATGACTTGTAAGTTAATGATTTAGTGAAAAATGAAAAAAAAATATTTAAAATTTGTTAAGTTAAAACGCCAGTCTGAATTTTTTTTAGCTGGTTTTGTCGACTAATATGCAGATAGTCGGTTCACAGAATATACATTCCAAATAGAACACTTGGGTATTTGTAAACTGTGTAAATTTTCCAAAAACGTTTAAATAAATATCAGCGATCAACCAATTTTTTCTAAAATTCCCAGCGGAAATTAACTTACTCAAGATCATTGTCAAAATAATTTTTATAAATTTACAAAGTTTACAACTATACCTGTGAATACGGTCACAAAAAATCTATTCAAATAACATCACCACAATAAGACTGGGAAAAATTCAGGCTGGAGTTTTAGTGTAACAGTTTTAGAAACCTATAATTTTCTATTTTAACTGAAAAATCATTATTTTCACGTGGATGTTTTTCGCAAACTGTGTAAATTATAGTATGGTCGGTTAGGAAAGAAACCTTTGAAAAATGCCTGTAAAATCCGGAAAACTTAATTAATTCCAATGACACTTTTAAGGGTTAAGAACAAGGTCCTTATCGTTCAATTTTTTGCCTCATATGGTCCATAGACCCCCATCCTTCCTATCTGGCGAATTATTTGCCTCGCGGTCCCAAGAAGTGCTTTGCCACTCTTTCTCGCTACCACTTTTGAGGTGTGTGTCCAAATGTGACGGAATCTTACCAAGTTTTTGGGTGGTTTTGTTCGACGACTATATTCTCTCTTGCATAATGCCCAAAATCGTTCAATTAGTCTTGCCTGAGGGACGTAGGGAGCATATTCCTTTTTTGCAACAAAATCGATTTTTTTCGACCGCAGGTAATCCTGAACAACTTTTGAAGAATGACATGTTGCTGTGTCCGGTCAGAAAAGTACATTACAATTATTGATAAAGGGGATCAAGATCTTCTTTACACAATCGTTCAGATATCTCTCCGAGGTCATGGTGGCTGTGGTCACGAACGGCTTTGAGACGTCCCTCAATGAGTCCAATGCTTGCCCAATTATGGGCTTTGTGGGGAATTTTGACTTCGGCGTGTATTTGAAAAAACCTTTAAACGTTTTTTTATTAGTGCATGAGTAGTACTTCCTCGCAGGGACTTCATCTGGATCAATCGAGCACTTGGTCTCATCATCCATTACCAGAATCACGGGCATGTTTTGCTTGACTCGTTTTTCAACATTCTGCCGAGAGTTGGGCTTTGCTCTTTTTTGCTGACCTTGGTTGTACTTTGGTGCAGATGTCGCCTTATAGGATTTGACCCCCAACTTCGTAGGCTTAATAGCATGTAAACTTAATTTTGCTATTTTCAATTTGTAGCCCAAATTACCATCTGATATCCCAAGGTTATTTTTGTCTTCTTTCTGAACTCTACGTATCACTTTGGGGGTCGCTACACGAGCAGGACGATTTTTTAATTTTTTGAATTCAGCATTCCTGCTCTCCTCATACATATCTAAAACTCTGAAAATTGCACCATTATGAATTTTTTCTCTTTCGAAGTGGCTGTAAACCATCATCCGGACGCGCTCGCACACTTTTTCGTAGTAGTGGCAAATGTTTTTTGCGACTTGTTCTCGATTTTTTGTTCTCATTTTTGAACTGGTCGAGATATCGACTTCCGGTTTTCGGATTTGGGTAGTTAATCGCATGGACTAGAAAACTACCGCGTTTCAACTCAGTGGCAATTTTTCTTTCATACGAATAAATATATTTTTCAAAGGTTTCTTTCCTAACCGACCATACCTTAAAAAAATCTGTATTACAAGAAAACCTTAAACCTAATTTCTAAACTTTACTGCGTTACAAACATTCGCGTTAATTTTGTCACCATATTATTCAATAATTCAATGTCTTATTTATTTTTTGATTCCTAACTAGCTCGATCAAATCTTTGCCATGCTGTGTCTCTGGTTTTGGATGGCGTATAATGTAAGTATTTTTTAAACTTAATTATCATTATTTGCATAATTAAATACTTAATTGCTAATTAATTCTTGAATTATCTAGATTTACACCCTGCTCGCGATATATTCCGTGTACCAAATCCTCATGGAAAAACAAGCCCCCGCCGTGCAAGACTTTGGACCAGAATGTTACACAGAAAATACGCTATTTTACTGGGACGAAACCGTGTAAACTGCGTAAACGAGGAATATTTTATCCTAAAAAATGAGCAAAAAAATCACATGGCACAATTTTTAACAGACTTTCACAATTTACATTACATGACTTTTTTTAGAAATCTCATTTTGTACAAGGAAATTTCATTATTTCACATTTACTAATTAATTGTTATGTAGATTAGTATTTAGGTTTAATATGTGTGCCTAATTTTTATATATAATTTAGATTAATTAGTTAACTAATTGCTTAATTAATACAGAAAGTAGTGCAAAGATACCGGTGAAAATTGAACCAAAACTATATCAAAATTGTACTTTTACGTAAACAAAAATGAGTTAATTAACTTGAGAAAAATGTCCGTCCAGTAAAATCTTGAAATTTACGAATTTCAGATTTTCGTAGCACGTTATTTTTGAAAATCTTTTAATTATTAAAAGTTGTCAAAATTCTTACAAATTGTCAAAATATCAACAAAATTTAAAATGTTAGCGCCGAAAAAATAAAAAAGTAGTTTGTAATCAACTTGTAAACCTTTGAGGTTGTTCGTCTGGATCTGACTATCAAGCTTACAATAGTTAAAGGTAGTACAATAATTTTTATAAACTTTGTAAATTTTGAAATAACATTAAATAAAATAAAAAAATAATTCAAAATTCACTCAAAATAAAATTGGTTTATCTCTTTGTCCCGTTCGGTAATGAATAATCAAACTTTTACAAAATTTTACTCATACATATTTCGAAAGAAAATCAGCTCCAAAATTTTTGTAGACTTGTCCCGATCAAGGGCGTCTCTTTATTTTTTAACAGTTTGCAAAAATATTTTACAAAACGCTTGGATTTTACAAGCTTATCAAGGACTGCGTGAATTGCATCATACAGAGTTTCGTTATTTTGCAAAAGTTTGTAAAACATAGAAAGATCCGTGTGAAATGTGAGTCGTAATCATGAAATGATTTTAAAAAAAAACGTTAAAAATTTGTCACATTAAAACGCCAGTCTGGATTTGTCCAGTCCAAAAAGATTACAATAATCTTTCGGTTACATAAAAGTATCGTAGGCAAATAATTTTCATTATAATTACACATTTACAAATATGTATTCACGTGAAACCTGCTTAAAAAAATTATCACAAAATCCCAATTAGATTACCATAATAGGACTGGAAACAATTCAGACTGGAATTTTAGTGCCGAAGTTTTAAACCTATAAATTTCTGCATTTAAAACTGAATCATTTTTCAGGTGGATATTTGTAAATTGTAAGTCGCATTACAAGCAGTGGCAGCGGAGGCGTGTGGACAGTGGGACAATATGTCCCCACGGTTGTTCGATGTCCGCATCATCTGCGCATGTTATACAAACCCCTCCCTCCCCTATCCTACAATGTTAATGTCCCCACTGCTTCCGGTTACAAGAACACTTGAGGACGAGTTTTCCTGCATATTCTTTTGTAAAGTAATTGCAACCTTGTAAAATCCGTAAATTTTGTAAACTTACACAATTTTACAAATATATCAAAGGGAAATTATCAAGATTAGAAAATTAAAAGTTTTCGTAAACTTATCCAGATCAAGGGCGTCTCTTTATTTTGTAAAAGTTTGTAAACTTATTTTATAAAGCCCACGATTTTTACAAAGTTACCAATGACCGCGTGCATTGCATCATAGTCTCGTTATTTTGCGAGGGTTTGTAAAATATGACATCATTCGCATGAAAAGACTTGTAATGATTTAGTGAAAAATGAAAAAACGCAAAATTTAAAATTTTTCGTGTTAAAACGCCATTCTGAATTTTTTTTGCGTGATATTGTATAATTGGATCAATACGAAGATTGGGCATCCCCATCCAATAATTTATTCAAATTGATAAACCACGTAAATTGTGTAAATTGTTGCAAAATTAGTTTCAAAACCTTTAGTAATGTCAGCGATCAAACAATTTTTTTAGTCTTGGCTCTTCGACATTCATGCATGTCAAACCAAAAATTATGTCTGGTAATTAATTGCTTAATTAATTACGGAAATTAGTGCAAAGAAAGACACCGGTGAAAATTGAGCCAAAACCATATAAAAATATTACTTCTACGTAAAAACGTGAGTTAAATAACTTGAGAAAAACGTCCGTCCAGTAAAATCTTAGATATTTACGAATTTCGTAACATATTATTTTCAAAAATTCTGACAAATTCAATTAGGTAACAAAATTCAAAATGTCGCAGATTTTCGTAGAACGCAATTTTCGAAGCATGCTATTTTCGAAAATTCTTTAATTATTTAAAGTTGTCACAATGCTTTAGAATTCTCAAAATATGAAGCAACAAACTTTAAAATGTTAACGCCGAAAAAGTAAATAAGTAGTTTGTAATCAATTTGTAAACCTTTGAGGTTGATTTGTTTTTTGAGGTATGTCATTGGATCTGACTATGAAGTTTACAATAGTTAAATGTAGCAAGATAATTTTTATAAACTTTGTAAATTTTGAAATAACACTAAATAAAATAAAAAATAATTCAAAATTAAACCCATTTCAATATTTCCTTGTATGTGAAATTGGAACACTCAAAATAAAATTGGCTTACCGCTTTGTCCTGATCAGTAACACATAATCAAACTTTTACAAAATTGTTCTCATACATATTTTGAACGAAAATTTGCTCCAAAATTTTTGTAAATTTGCTCCGATCAAGGGCGCCTCTTTATCTTGTAACAGTTTGCAAAATTATTTCACAAAACGCACGGATTTTACAAGGTTACCAAACACTGCCGCCTCATACATAGTCTCGTTATTTTTCAAAAGTTCGTAAAATATAAAAACATCCGTGTGAAATGTGAGTCGTAATTATGAAATGATTTAATGAAAACTGAAAAAAAAACATTTAAAAGTTGTCATATTAAAACGCCAGACTGGTTTGTTGAAGCAGTTTATTTCTTGGCTTAAGAAATAGATTGATCCTTCCGCATTGCCGAGGTTTTAAAAAAAAATTCAAAAAAATACGATCCTTAAGTTGCATAAAAGTATCGTAGGCAAATAATTGTCATTATAATTACAACTTCACAAATATTCACGTGAATCCTGTTTAAAAAAATCTATCCCAAAATCCCAATTAGACAACCATACTAGGAAACTGGAAAAAATTCAGACTGGAATTTTAATAATTTTTAATTTTAATATCTTTAAATTTTAATTGTAGAAGGTTTAAAACCATAAATTCCTATTTTAACTTAATAATTTTTCACGTGGATATTTGTAAACTGTAATCCGCATTACAAGCAGTGCCCGCGGAAGCGTGGAGACAGAGGGACAATGTCCCCACGGTTATTCGATGTCCGCATCATCTGCCCATGTTATGCAAACCCCTCCCTCCCCTATCCTACAATGCAAATGTCCCCTGATGATGCCCCCACTGCTGACAAGACCACCTGAGGATGAATTTTCCTACATATTCTTTTGCAAAGTACTGGTAACCTTATAAAATCCGTAAATTGTGTAAACTTACAAAAATTATACAAATATATAGAAGGAAAATAAGCAAGATTAGAAAATTACAAGTTTTCGTAAACTTATTCAGATCAAGGGCGTCACTTTATTTGGTAAAAGTTTGTAAACAAAACGCACGAATTTTATAAAGTTACCAATGAACGCATGAATTGCCTCATAGTCTCGTTATTTTGCAAGAGTTTGTAAAATATGAAATCATTCGCGTGAAAAGGCATGTAATGTAATGATTTAATGAGAAATGAAGAAACACAAAATTTAAAATTTGTCACGTTAAAACGCCATTCTCATTTTTGTATGTGAGTATTGTCGCTTGGATTCATACGCAGATAGGGCATAACAATCCAGCAATTTTAAATATTCTCGTTGATAATTCACGTAAACTGTGTAAATTTTACAAAATTAGTTTCAAAACCATTACTAATGTCAGCGATCAACCAATTTTTCTAGTCTTGGCTCTTCGACACTTGTGCAAGTCCATATCAAACCAAAAATTATCTCTTATTTTTAAAAACTGTTACCGACCAAATTACGAAGGAAAACCAGGTTGAAAATTTACAAAAAAACTTTTATAGATCTTATTATTTTTCAAAACTTTGCAAAATAAATGATTTAATGAATACTGAAGAAAATGGAATTTGTCACGTTAAAACGCCAGTCTGAACTTTTTGCGTGATTGATTACTGTTGCTTTGATTAATAGGTAGATAGTGCGTTACGAACTTAGATTTTATTACGGACGAATTCACGTTGGTATTTGTAACCTGTGTAAATTTGCAAAACCTATTTCCAAACTTTTACTAATGTCAGTAATTAAACAATTTTTCGACTTTTACATTTCCGTCGGTCCAGTCAAAAATCAACTCCTCCTCTAATGTTTGTACATTAACAAACTTTATTTTTAGAAAACTTGTACCAACAAACTTTTAAAAAAGCCTACAAAAAAGTTGGCAGGAAAATCAGATTCAAAATTTACTAGACAATTACTTTGTAAAAGTTCGCAAAATAAATGATTAATGAAAACTTGTCAAGTTAAAACGCCAGTTTGAATTTTGTATGTGATTATTATCGCTTAAATTAATAAGCAGATACGGCATAACGATCTAATCAGTTTTACTCCTTCTAAAAAATGGAAAGGATACTATACCTCAAAGCGTCATATATGAACTAAAGCTACTTTCTTCCATTTTCGGCGTTAGAATGAAACATTTTCAATTTTTAATAATTTCAAAAACAACGTGTCAAAAAAATCTGAAACATTTTGAATTTTGGTACCTGACTGAATTTTTAAGAATTTTGGTAACATTTAATATTTTAAGAATTTTTTAAAATAATGTGTTTCTGCAATTCGTAAATTTCTGAACCAATAAAACTTTTACAAAATAAAGAGACGCCCTTGATCTGAGCAAGTGTACGAAAACTTATAATTCTCTAATCTTGCTAATTTTCCTTCGATATATTTGTCAAATTGTGTAAGTTTACAAAATTCACGGATTTTAGATAGTTCCTAAGAACAGTGTGAATAAATTAAATCTTTGCAAAAGAATATGTACATATACTTGTAACGTAGATAAACTTATACATGAGACAAACACTATTTCAGCAAAAATACGTCAGTTAGGATTGTTTTTATGGCTGATGTTCCTTCTGATCATAAATTTACCGGTTGAATCAGAATCGGCGGTTTGGTCCGGTTTCGGTTCCAGCTAAAAAAAGTTCGGTTCGGTTCTGGGTTCGTTACCGGTTTGGTCCAAGATCCGGAACACTCAAAACAACACTCAAAATGAATTGGTTCACCGCTTTGTCCCGATCGGTAATAAATGAACTTTTGTAAATCAGACTTTTACAAAATTTTACTCATACATATTTCGGAAGAAAATTAGCTCCCAAAGTTTTGGTGAACTTGCGTTGAACTTGAATCAAGGGCGTTTCCTTATTTTTTTGTAAAATTATTTTCCAAAACGGTTTTAGAAAGTTATTAAAAACTGAGTGAATGTGAATTGAGTCTCGTTATTTTGGAAAAGTTTGCAAAATATAACAACATTCGCGTGAATTAACTTGTAATGTAATGATTTAATGAAAAATTGAACAACAAAATATTTAAAATATTTCACTTTAAACGCCAGTCTGAATTTTTTGCGTGATTATTATGGTTTTAAGTA